TTCAAGAACAGTCCCAAGAGATCATCGCCCCCAGAATTCTCTACCTTCTCTTCAGGAAGCAGAAGAGACATCTCAAAATATGTCCAACCATACTCGGAACTATCCGAACCGCAATTCCCTCCGTGGGGAGGAGAAATCCGCATCTCCACACTTTGACACCCCGGGCCGTGTCACGGCAATGGGGCAGATTTCGACGCCAGATGATACCTTGGCATCTCCAGCTCCACCTCGGGAATTCTATGGATCTTCCTCCATTGCATCACTGATGAGATTTGCACGGTTGTCTGTTCCGTTGCAATCTTCGCCCCGGGCCAAAGGTGGTACCAATACCCCAATGGATTACCAGTATCACGAGTCACCTAACACACAGTACCGACTCAATGACTTCACACTCCCACCCCGCTCACTAGCAGATCACCTTCTAAATTGCTATTTTGACCGTGTAGCCTGTATCTACCCTTTCTTCGATCGACCCAGCTTCGAGAAAGCGTACGATAACCTATGGAAGTCGGAAAGGGATGGTATGAACAAGCTACCAGACATGCATATCGGCCTCGGAGGAAGGTCTGACTCGTCTCCCAAGTCTATTGTGCTCCATTGTGCTCTAAATGGAATGTTTGCGCTTGGATGCCATTTCTCGGACCTTCCGCTGCAGGAGCGAGAGGCAACAGCCCACTCCTTCTTTCTCCGCTGCAAACGCTTCGTAGGACTTGATCTCCTCGAGATCCATACAGTCGGGGTGGTTCAGACTCTTCTTATTGTCGCTCTATACTTGCAGAGCAGCCCGTACCCCAGTAGATGCTGGAATGCAATTGGGTTAGCATGCCGCCTCGCCCAAGGCCTGGGCTTACATGAAACCAACAATGCGTCCTCAATGACAGTATTAGAAACGGAAGTACGGCGCAGGACATGGCATGGATGTGTTATGCTAGATGTGTAAGTGCTTCACTGTGAACGGCTCTATTCACCTAACTGACTCACTGTCTAGGTTCGTGAGCATGACACACGGTCGGCCAAGCATGACCAGCCATCTCGCCCCGATTCCATTGCCTTTTGCCACAGGGAAGGACGTTCCTCTTACTATGGGGTTCTACGTGGCAACTATCAAGCTCTATCGAATTCTGGATAGGATTCTTTCAGATGTGTATAACATGTGGCAAGGCCGTTTCAATGAGGAATCAAAAAAATCGACACCATGGTCCGAAGGAAACTTCGATTCCCTTTTAAAACTGGAACGGCAGCTACAGTCCTTCAAGGACACCCTACCACCCTATCTAAGCTGGAGCGCTTCTAGTCGCCCAGAGTGCCACCTTGAGGAATCGGATATTATAGAGCGTCAACGAAATATTCTTCGTTCACGGTAAGCAATCTCGCCGTAACCCAATATCAAAGTATCACATATACTTAGTGTCTCAGGTACTACTACATCCGGCTACTTCTCTACCGACCAATCTTTACCCAGGTTTGTTTAGATTATACTTCGCCACAGCACTCACATGAATCCCGAAAAGACAAACATCCGGCCTGGAAAGATGCCGAGAGCACCCTACAATCCTGCATAGTAGATAAATGTGCAGCTACCTGCGTGTCCACTACAACCGAGCTTATTCACTTGATCTATGAGACATACTCGACACCATACACTGATCCGTGGTGGTACAATGGCTTTTGTAAGTAGGCACGCATTCTCTCTTTCTTCTTGTTGTGGTGATACGTGCTTCTCTATCCTCAAGCCTCTTCCAGAACATCACACGGTACAAGCAAAATGATGACGCTGACAATCGGAAACAGACACATCAACATGTGCCCTCATTCTCATAATGGCCCACTCAGTACCCTCACTATCCGACTCGATCGATTTTGTCAGAGTCCAAGAAGCCTGGGAGAAATGCGAGAAGATCCTCGCACACATGGGTACATTCAGCCAATCTGCACGGACATCGCTTCGCTTCTTACAGGGGGCTTTCAGTCAAAATATCCACGGCCGTCCCTCATCTAGGCCCAATTCTAATGTGGAACTGAATCCCGATCGAAATCTGACAGACGAAGCCGATGCACCCTGCTCTGCCCTCAATGGTCCGAACACGTCATCCTTCCAGGATACCCCTGGACTTGACTCATCAAATTGGACAGACTCTGGTATTGGCCCCAGCACGTTTGAGGATGACCTCGGTCTTCTTTCCTGGATTGATGTTCCAGATATGTGGCAGTGGTTTCGGGCTGATTCGTGATTGTGATCGATGATGCGAAGTTTCTCTGGAAGACATCAAGAAGGATGAATGCCATGTAAGGATAGGAATATGTCAGGCAATCATATATTGTGTGCCGTAATCTACGTCCTGCTAAAGCTATTCCCCCCAATAAGCAACTTGTGCGACACCTAGGCAGTATCACATAACAGTATCCAGCCATGAATCAACTAACTCCCCAGATTTGACGACCGGTTCCAGTACTTCTCTATCATCAAACTCGCCGCCACCAAACTCACTCATGTTGTTTTCCCATATTTCCTTGAGCCATTCCTCCTGATAAATTCTCTCCGAGGGTAAGCCTTCTGCACCGAAAAAGAACCACAAGAACACTTGCTCTGAAGCCTCTCTGGAAGCTTCCTGATCAGCTTCTGTTCTTTTAAATTCCCTACGTGTCTTTAAATGGATATTGTCGAAATGACTCTCTGATACAGCTGGCGTTATTCGTTCCGAGAAACCTCGGTCCTGTATTATAGTACCACCCGGCAAGTACCACACCCAATGATCATACTCATATCCATGCCTGGGACAGTCCAAGTGTGCCGTGACATAGAGAGCACAGTCCTTTGTGAGGGATGCTCCGCACGGCGCCCAAGGTACTCTAGGTCCATGTTGATAGCTCTCATTGTCCCCGTCGGTTGAAGGATAATTCGTTAATCGCCAGACATCTTCTCTCAACATGTAATTTGGATCTTCGCAAGTATACGGGCCCGATCCTGCAACGTCCATGAAGCTCTGTGGACACCCCGTCCAGGGAAAGGCGACCCGGTCTAGAGGTGGATGGCCTCCTCTTACTCTGTGGAGAATTTCTGGGCCTAGGCCGCTGGCGATAGCCCCGATCCAGAATGCGCTGAAGCATGGCTGGCGGATTGCACCGATGAATGCAAGGACTTCTATTTCATCCTCTGGTAAAGTATCTAGGACTTCGTTGATGATCGGATGTAGCCATGGGCTGACGAGATTGCAGGGGACATCTTGCTCCCAGAATGCTGCACAGAAGGTCGACATCATTACTTCTGGGCTGCAACTCAGGGTCATGTAGTAGGGCAAGTCTTCTTTCAAATTCATCCATTCAGCATCCCAGGGTGTATCGATTGGTTTAGAACCAGTAACTCGGGGAAGGGGCAGTTTGGCAGACAACCTATAATACTTATGTGTGGGGATTGTCAGAGCCATCGTAAGAGCAATGGGGAATTGGTCTTGCAATCCATGCAGACGTGCGAATGCGAGAAGTGCCTCGAATGCTCTCTCTGAGGATAAGGGCGTTGAATTAGGATCTGAAGAGAGGGTCCCCTTCTTTTTAATCGAGAATTGCGTTTCGCAGGTACGGGAAACTGACCACGGGGCCAGGAAATCCCCTTGGGGAGTTTGTTTCACCGTAGCTTTCCATCCTTCATTCGGTGCGAGTATTGCGGACCACCAGCGAGCTACGCTCTCGTCCACCTCCCCAACATCGATGACATGGACTTGTGAGGGATCAGATAGGCTTTGATTGCTGTATCCTGTCTGGAATTGGGTGTACTGCACAGAAGAGTCTTCACCTCGCATCTCAACAAGCTGTGCAGATAGTACATAGCACCATCCAAGGGCGAGGATGCCGAGATAATTTGGTCCAGTGATATTTCCTCCTCCCATGCCGTTCCATGAACTGAATGCGCCCTCGGTGAAGCTGAAAGAGGTAGCAGCAGCAGTACCAACTTGAACGAAGGTGAGGTGTGACGTCTGCTTCTTGAGTTTGCCGCAATCCTGATCTGCTGGCAGAGTCCAGATAGAAGAAGCTTCACAGCAAAGACTGCGTATAGGAGTTATTCCATATGGGCGAACGTGAAGCCGTTCAGAACGGACCTGAAGTTTCGGGATTCTATGTAGAGCGAGACGAGGATTTGTGAACTCTGAACTTAAGCCTGATTCCCGCAGCTGAATGGCCAAATTTGCAAGCTGATACCAGTACTCTCGACTCTTTTCGAGTGCATCTTGAAGTTGTTGCTCCTCCAGTTGGAGAACATTGTTATCGCGAAGGATCTAACAAAAGGGTGTTAGCACGGTCGGTCTATCTATCATTATACACTGACCAAGGATAGTCGCGGTGGCCGTATTAAGCGGTCACGCTTTTCTCTTGGTGTATCCTTCATTGGGACTTTCATGCAAACAGGGGCTTCGTTATCAAGGTGTGAGTTTGATGGATGATGGGGAGGTAAGAGAAAGGGGCGGACAAAGGGAGATATGCGGTCAATATGCACGGTGCACGGTGGCCACCGCCTTGGTATTCATGGCTTACAGTACTGCTTCATTCACGCAGAAGTCCACTAATTCCAGGTTTAAGACTATACCTCGATTCTACCCCTGCTTTATCAGAACAACACAGATGCTGCATGAAAGTAGACTCTTTGATCAGAATCATATCGAAAAGGGAACTGCACAAAGCGGAGACGGAGTATATATTTAGTTAGAGGGGGCCTGGCACACTTTCCCTCAAACACACCATAGACTAATGATGAAAGCTTTGGTATGCTACTCATGGGCTGCACTGAATTTCATTTAGCTACAAACACAACCTCTACACAGATGTTATTACACTCTCCGCATATGGCAGATGGCAAGGCTTCACAGCGAGCAGCTCCGGCCACAACACCATGGGGGAGTTTCTAGATGCCTTGGCAGCATCGATAGAGATACATGAATTCCAATTTCTCAGCGATAAACTAATCTGAAAGCACATTTATACTCACAACCACAAACAGGATTCCACACTCACTCCAAAACCCCATCCCCCTCACACCTCTTCAACGGATACCCATCCCCCAAGCAAGTCGTAACCACCCCCTTAACCCACTCCAACTTCCCCTCACCGTATGTATAGCTAGTATCCTCATAGCTATCCGCCTGATAATACTCAAATTTGCCTCCGTTGCCCGGCTCCCCATTGAACACATACCCACGACTCCGATGCGTTAGCGGATTACTAACAATCGCGCCCCATTTGCCCTTGGGGATCGTCATCGTCACGGTGCCCGTGATCGTGCTCGTCGTGGTCTGCTGGTAGCTGATACTCGTTGTGAGAGAGAGGAAGTCTTCGATGAGAGTGAAGTCGGCCGAGGCGCCGGTCGTAATGCTGTTTGCGATGGATTGGCCGGATTGGATGGCGAGGGTGACGGGGGCCTGGTTGGCGTGCGTGATGGTCGACATGGCGATGTCCCAGCCGAGGAAACTCTGTGGTTCCAGAGGAATTATCAGGTTTGTGGAGCTTCCGCGCTTAGTGGTGGTCTTGTTCCTGGAGCTAGAGGCGCTGGTGATAAGGAGGGGTGGTGTGCTGTCATTGTTGGTGGATGGCAGATAGGTGAGGTTTGGGATCTGGGACTTGAGGTCGGCTTTCTTGATGGTCTTAGTGGTGTTGTTGCTTAGGAGGATGATTGCTTCGTCGGGACCGCAGATGGTGGTTGTATTGGCGATTGGCACGGTGTAGGAAAGGGTTGCGGAGAAGAAGGTTACGAGGAGTGGGAGCTTCATGGTGTGCGGTTGCTTGATCGGGTTCTTCTTCTGATGGTTAAACGGGGCCCCGAACTTGCTGAGTCTGTCTCGTGTCTTCCATTGAGAATAGTATGGACTTATATATTATATATCCCCAAACATCTTAGAAGTGCCTGTTATAACCTCTCTACACAACTACTCCTACTACATCATCCAGCTCCGCCAAGAAGTATAGACATCGCCAAGATCACGACATACAACATCGATCAACGATGTCCGAAACTCTCACGCAGATCCCCCAGAGTCCCCGAGGAACTCCCGAAGAAACACAAGATCGACAATCACAAGTCGCACAAGACTGATTATGCAGCCATTATCTACCGAATCGAGTAACTTACACGATCCGCTTCTTGCCCGTAGCCCTAACCAAGACAACCGCTTGTCAATCTCAGCCACGGATCGAGCCGCTATCTATCCAGTCAAGGCTCCAAGTGGGTCCTCCCGTTTCACGCCCCAAAACCTTAATAGATGATTTTGTCTGCCGCTGCTCCATTTAATTTAGCTCAGGGGGTTGTGCCATGTGCGTTCCGCCCGTTGAGATAGGAAGAACTCACGGATCGACTACTTGGCAAAGGATGAGACATGCATGTGGATCTGCGGTCAGTCGCTGCTCAGGTGATATGCTCTGGGATGTATTAGTATTATAGATGTAGCTTGAGCGTTGTGGTTGAGTTATATATTGTCTGAGGATGTTTCTCTTGAGGTTATTGTGATCTTCGTTGCTGGTCTTGGTTTGCTTGAAGGATGGCATGTCGGTGAGATGTATATTAATGATTTGACGGTGGTGATATCATGGCGGAAGATACTCGGAAATACTGTTCCTTTGACGTGGTAGGAGAGCCAGAGAGAGTTGACGCTATGAAAGATGCTGAGAGACTTGGCTAGAGACATCATATATTGCGGGATTTCCTGAGCTGTAGTCAGTCAATTTCGACAAGATATTAAGGACTACCCTGAACCAGACTTCAACGACACGCACCACTCTTTCTTCAGAGTTTCACAAGCACAATGAAGCATTTTGCAGCTATCTTTGTCACAGTCTTCGCTACTGGGTAAGCATCAGGTTCCATTCTTCGAGATGCAACTCAGCCACTAACATAGTGCAGTGCGCTAGCAGACCTCCATTACACAGGACTCTGCTATGACTCGCCTGGTAAGGACGTGGTGAGTTATCCTATTCCATAATTTTCATGGGAATTCTGTTGATTGAACGGAAACTTGTACAGAAAGTCTTCAACAAGGCAGCAACGGAGAAGGCCTGCGCTTCTTACAAGAACCGCAACACAGGCAGCCAACAATGGGACCAATGTCCGGATTGCACAGTACTAAGTGACCAAGACCTTTTGTACTACTGCAAGTCCGAGGGTCAGCACATCGGAGGAGACGAACTATCATATTACTGTGGACAGGCGGGTGCGGATGGAAGTTTGGCGTGGTGATGTTACAGTCTCGAGTTCAGGCAGTTACTCAACCTACAGATAGCATAACAACCAAGAAGCATAAACAGTCCTCCCCACTATTTAACTGTCACTTATGCAAAGTGGGTGCACAGTACTTTTGATCAGGAGTATCGGAATGTGGCCGCGATCGCCCCTCATAGTTCCAATAAAAGCTAAGACATCAGACTAGGCCAACCTCACCCACCTAACCAGATCCTTCGTCCCTTCGCTTTCTTCACACTAAGCAACAAAACCAACCAGGTTTCCCATCCTTCCGTACCTATAGTGTTCAATCTAGATTCGGCCGCCGAAGTTCTTCCATGCCCAGCACAAATAGATGAATTTCTCATCTGCCGAGTCAAGCCTGCCATAACCCTCCTGCAGATCGGCTTGAGATGCTCAGTTCGCTTGCACACTAAGTCGAATAGACTGTACTTCTTATTGGATACCATCATTACGATTTATCAGGCTAGAGCAGGGGCTGAATAACTAACCTATTTCCAGCTACCGGTCCCGACGACTCTCGGACGCGAACGGACGGAATCCTTCCGATCAGGAAAGTTCACATGTGTACCTAACCCCTGCCCTTTTAATCTGCTTTATGTGCCTGGGTCCTATATGAGAGGAGAGTAAAAAAAACTTTGTTTCTCTTCTCCGTTGTTGGATAATGTTTGTGTGCCGCTGCCATGAGCGCCACCAGCACCGCTGCCTCGACAGGGACTGGCACGGGCGTTATTCCTGCACCTGTGGGTGTAACGCCTGATTTAGACAGTCCAGAGAAGCACTATTATACTGCGAACCTGGTTGTGGTCACTATAGGTGTAACAATCAGTACGTTAGGTCTCCTGGTGAGACTATATACGCGGGTGGTTATTGTGCGGAAGTGGCTGCTTGATGATGGTGAGTGTGCCCGATGTACTTTAATGATTGATGCATGCAAATATGTCCTCGAGAATTTCCAGTCATATGAATTGCTTACAGGAGATTTCATATAGTCGTCATTGTATTATCATGGGTTAGTAAATCACCCTCTCAACACCAATACGATGACTGATCATAATGAATCCAAAGATCTTCGCAGTATTAACTCAGTCCCTACTCCTATGTACGCACCATCACCTACATTCTAACCGAGCCCAGCTCAATCCTAACTGAAACACTTCCATACAACAGGGGGCTACATCAACGCCGGCCTAGGCGTCCACGAATGGGACCTCACCTCTACCGTATACAACCGAACCCTCCGAGTACACACCCCATCCCCGATCGAACCTTCTCCCTCATCCACCACCTAACAACGTCTCAAAAACAACTAGGTCCTCCTCCTTGGCGCAATAATGTACATTCCTGCCCTCGGTCTATCCAAAATCTCCCTCATTATTCTCTACTACCGGCTCTCCGATATGCAACGAAAATGGCGCATAACCCTATGGGGAATGACCGCCTTCGTCGTCGCCTACATGATTGTCCTTGAATGTTTATTTCTGTTTACGTGCGAGCCGGTACATAAGTCCTGGTACCCTGACATAGACGGACGCTGCTGGAGTAAAGCCCCGATCTTCATGGCGGGCGTGGTGGCAAGTATGTTTATTGATTTGGTATTGCTGGTCATGCCGCTGCCTATTGTTCTGAAGTTGCAAATGACCTCAAAGAAGAGGTTTGGGTTGATTCTTATGTTTGGGTTGGGAGGTTTGTACGTTGATCTTTCTCTTTGGACTTGTTTGGACTGGGTTCGTGGCTAATTTCTTATGGTTGTGTTCAGGTCACTAGTTACGAGTACATTGCGACTGGCGGCTACGGTGCCGATGTTGACGCAGCAAGACCAGACATATTTGTTGGGTGGGGTGGCTCTTTGGATGTATGTGATCTTTTATCCCCCTTTTATTCTTACGCTTGATTGATTGTTGCTAACATTGTTGTTGGTTCAATAGTAATGTCGAGGCAAGTCTAGTCATCGTCACAGCTTGCGTACCGTCGTTCCGACAAGTGTTGAGGTTCCATGCATCTGGATGGCGGAGTGATAGTGGCGGAAGGCTTGATAGAATGTCCAGCACTTGCAATCTTCGCAGTGTGCAGCGGAGACAGGAAGGGTTCACGAATCTGAGCTTTGATCTGGAGATGGATCAAACTGACTCGCGTGGACATGATTCGGCTGGGGCACGGACTTAGAAGAGGGAAAAAGTATATGATTTTCAATTATAAAGGTTGTTTCGATCGCCGACACTGTCTAGCATGTGGACTACATGAAGCCGTCCTTCTCCACTTCAATGTTAATCGCCAAAAGCTTTATTTTAATAAGACGCTCGCTTTCTGTACTCCAACCCGGCATGCAACCCCGCGACCTCATTACCATTAGACGTATGACACTTTCCATCGACAATGTCATAACAACTGGACTATGGTCTAGACATCAGTGAACTTCTACATGAATGAAGCAGTACTGTAAGTTACTAATACCAAGGCGGTGGACTACTGTCTTCCTTGTTCGCCTCTTCCTCTTTCCTGTTTCTCATCATAAATCAAATTCACATCGTGATCACAAATGCTACGGCCACTATCCCAGTAATGGACAATGTTACACAACAGACATCATTTTCTACGAACGGTAACCCTTGAAAGAACTTACGCCCCATCCTTCACGGTACAGTTTTCATCTAATGTGAGGGGTCTTGGATTGATACCTTGCAGCGGCAACTAGCTGAAATAGTTAGGCGACGCAGTAGGCAACGTACATAACACCACATGCAAGGTGCTACGGAGCAATGGTTACTAGCCTACGTCACACTAGCCATAACATGCAGTAAGATCGGTGATCAGCAATCATAGAACAACCTGGAAACCATCTCGCCTTGATCCACATATCTTGGAAGTTGAAGAGTAGATAGCTGATTCATCTTTTTGCTTACATGAAGAAGGCGGCAACAACGTACTTATTCCCCGGGGCATCGTCACTGGCACAAACACAGGCACCATCATTAAGATTCCAGCACACCAAGTGTATGACCTGTTTGGCCATCGACCATGCCAGTTTCCTCGCTACATATGCTGGATTTCAGCTTTTCAAATCCTTATACACTTTTGATCCGTATGGCCCATTTGCTGTTCTATATCGTCTCTTGTTTTCAAGATGCGGGTCAGTATTAGAGAAAGACCTCTCGAATTACGCCAACAAGAGAGTCCTAATCACTGGCGGGACCAGTGGGTGTGGGTTGGAGTGCACAAAGGCATTTGCTCGTGTCGGTGCCCATGTAATCGTGACAGCAAGGTGTAGTGAAAAGGGCGAAGTTCTGAGAGAAGAAATTATGAAAGAAACAGACACTCTCCATATTACACCCAAAGTGGACGTCTTGGAGTTGGAAATGAGTTCCGAAGATTCTATCACGGCTTTCAATACTCGCCTGCAAGAGTACCCTTCTCTAGACTTAGTGATCTTGAACGCAGGCATCTACCAAACAGACTTTGTCAGATGCGAAAACACAGGAAGGGAACAAACACTACAGGTAAGCAGGAGAGAATTATCCTTCATAAGCGATATTCGAGACAATCTACCACTTCATTACTACCACAGTCGCTCACTCGACTTCACGAGAGATAGGTCAATTTCCTAAGTACTTGCGCTACAGCACTGCTCGCCACGCAGCTATTACTGCGACAACCAACGCAAGGTCGTTTATTAATCATCTCATCCGAGGCGCATGCCTGGGCAAATCCTCAGCAAAAGTCATTCACCGCCTTAATAGAAATGCTCAACCAGCCAAATACATATCCCTGTTATGCAAGATACCACATCAGTAAGTTACTGGTCATCCTATGGATGCAGGAGCTGGCACGCAGAATAGACCCAGCACGTGTTCTTATAGCGTCCGCCACACCCGGATTTTGCCGCAGCGGACTTTTCCGTTCGTTTAGTGGTAAGACTATCGCCGATTATTTGGAGAGACTAGTTTGCCGGACCCCTGATCAGGGTGCATGGCAGTATCTCACGGCGATCGAGGGCATGGATGCAGAAGTGCATGGCTGCTTCTTCGCGGATGGAAAATTCAGGCCGTATGTCTCCAAGCTAATCAGTAATATTGGCTGACATGATAACATCTTAATGCAGGTCATCGACCGCAACAACATTGGCTAAGGAAGAAGGGTTACAAGATTCTATGTGGGATAATGTTCTTAAAATGTTGCCTGAATGTGCACAACATGTAGCAGATGATTTATCTATCTAATCATTACTACATTCCGACATCATAATAGACTGTATGTTTGAAGGCTGTTGAGACATGTTGTTTTGTATGAGATCTTCGTAACGATAACAAATGTAGGGTATTGGCATTATTGACTTGTGGACAAGTGCATTAGGCTAGGAATTAAATGATTCCAACCCTTGATTATTCGAGAAAATAACTTATAACGAAGCTAGACTGCGCTGATGAATATATCTTGCAATCATGCAACAGTCTCAGTATAGCTCAGTCGAAGACACGTCTACTCAATGCCAGGGTTGAAAAAATCATAGTAGCAGTGTAGCGCCCGTTCTAACGCACCTAAGGTAGAGACATATTGAAATTAATAGCAAATAGCTACTGTGCAAATCAAATCAACAACTAGAGGCCAAAAAGGCGTACGACGCTAGGGCCGATTGAACACCTTTGCGCATTTATGTATATATGCAATTTACATCATGCTACATACAAACTGTGTTCACCAGACAACACCCAGTGATGTACAAATTCAACCCCAACGGACACTCACCCGAGCTGAGTAGTCATAGTAAAGTAGCCAATAGATAAGACAAAGAATGCTAATACTGACAGATAACAGGGTTGTATGAGGCGGGTCTTTTGAGTCGTGAGTGACATGAATAAGAAACATCCAGCTGACAGGGCAAATATGCCCTGGAGTATTCAATACCTACCATAAGATCAACATCACTATCTTTGGGCTATCCTGGTATATGCGACTAAACATATAAAACCTGTTTTAGAAATGGCAATATCTGGAATGTTACGGTACACACTGCTTGCACCACACATCCTACCATGAATTATGGAAGGAAACCGGGCGTCGTAAAAGAATGCGAGTCATTGCCATGTCTGGATATCTGAACGTCGCCTTGTAGCGAGGAGGTCAAGAGAGGCTGGTCTAAGTCAGCGGTGCGCTAAGTGGAACAACTCCTTGTGTGGCAGATAAACTTTGGACAGAAGAAGATATTGTTACACACGTCCATGCTTGTAGATCGGACGAGATAAGAAAGCGCCTTGTCTTACTATGTTCCTTCAGCTGCGTGCCCATTATGCAACAATCTCAGTAAGTAGTGGAGGAGGGGGTGAGATGATTGGATCGCTCCCCTTCTGCAAGCCATAAAGTGATCAGTCTGATGGCAGCCCACTCTTTCACTGCACTTCAACCCTTGCTAAACACTCGACTATGTTTGAAGATCCATTGAGGGTCTTTTCGAACGAACTTTAGATCCTTCATAGGTATTACTGGTGTTGGGGACGTATTTTACATTACGCGCATATTACAAGTGAGTAACATGCACTGAGAACAAAATGCGGAAAGCCTAGTTTACTGGAGCGGCAGGAATGCAGGAGTCTTTTTTGGAGTCAGGGTGCTGGGCCTCGTAGAGCAAGGTGCTCAGTAAGACCGATATGTAAGTATATTCTACAGAGTATTCCTGGCCCGATTAGTTGGATACAATTTCCGGTAAATCGGTCAAGTGGGATAACTTGCAGAGCTTCGGTAGATCCTATCGCGAGGGGGGATCCGATACATAGTTTTGGCTACGGCATTCTCTGGTGTACTAGGCAGGGGGCCAGTAATACTTTTGCTATGATCTTTTGATGTTGGTATTGTTGTCAAAAACCTAAGTACTTAACTGTTAACCCATGAAGGCCACTAATAGAATCAGACCACAAATTTCATGATGCCCAAAGTTATTGTAATTGGTACGTATATCTAGATCCATCTGAATGTGGCCTAATGTTATATAGGAGCCGGTTCTGGAGGCGTAGCCACTGCTGCTCGTTTGGCAAAACAAGGCTTCGATGTCACTGTCGTCGAGAATAACGACTTGATTGGCGGCCGATACTCTCTGATTCACCATAACGGCTATGTTTGTTACTCGTCAACCCCCTGATTCCGGGGGTCTTCTTGCTAACGATAGACAGAGGTTCGACCAAGGTCCTTCTCTTTTATTGATGCCAGAAGTGTTCCACGAGACATTCCATGACCTAGGAACCTCCCTTGAAGCGGAAGGAATCTCTTTGTTAAAATGCGAGCCAAACTACCGGGTCTGGTTCTCTGACAACGACAACTTCGATCTAACAACAGATATAACAAGGCTGAAGCCACAAATAGAGCATCATGAGGGGGAAAACAGTTTTCGTGGCTTTCTCGGCTTCATGGAAGAGTCTGGTCGTCATTACGATCTGTCAATGATTCATATTTTGCGCCGAAATTTCCCCGGCTTATTAAGTATGATGCGACTTGGATTGCTGCAGTCCCTGTTTACGATGCATCCCTTCCAAAGTATTCATAGTCGTGTCAGTCGATACTTCACGTCTGACAAGATGAGACGGATATTTACTTTTGGATGTATGTATGTAGGTATGAGTCCGTATGATGCACCAGGGACCTATTCTCTTCTACAGTATGCAGAACTGGCAGGGGGATTTGGTATGCCGCCGGAGGATTTTAAAAGGTTGGTAGAACCTAAGTTTGTCAACATAGGCCATGCTAATGAACCAGATATTGGAGGGCATAGAGAAGATTGGCAAACGCCTTGGAGTCGAATATCGCCTCCATTCTCCTGTATCCTCGATCATTATTTCGGAAGACCAGTCAGCAAGAGGCGTTATTCTCTCATCTGGTGAGAAACTCGAGGCTGATCTGGTGGTGGTCAACGCAGACCTGGTCTATGCATACAACAATCTCCTTCCGGCATCCAAAGAAGCACGCCGTCTAAGCAACCGCGAAGCATCTTGCAGCAGCATCTCATTCTTCTGGTCCTTTGACCGTGTGATCAGCGAGTTAAAAGTACATAATATATTCCTTGCTGAGGAATACAAGAACAGCTTTGACTCCATCTTCAAGGATCACCAATTACCAGATGAACCGTCCTTCTACGTGAATGTCCCAAGCCGAATTGATCCTACAGCTGCCCCGAAGGGTAAGGATGCAGTGGTTGTGCTGGTGCCTACTGGCCATATAATGGACAGCACTGAACCCCAAGACTGGGACACGCTCGTCAGCAAAGCAAGAGACACTGTATTTGATACAATCGAAACACGAACTGGAGCTCGAGCACTTCGAGAAAGTCTAATCCACGAGTACGTTACACCGGCAAGCTGGAAGGAAAAGTTCAACCTCGATCGAGGCTCTATCCTAGGGCTTTCACATTCATTCTTCAATATGTTGAGTCTCCGTCCAAAGAGTAAGCATTCTTCCATCAAGGGACTTTACTTTGTTGGGGCAAGCACGCATCCTGGCACAGGAGTTCCAGTGTGTCTTGCGGGGAGTAAACTGGTAAGCGATCAGATCATGGAGGATTGTGGTGGGAAACCCAAGGGGGGAATCTTTGTTGAATCCATGGCTATCATATCACTAGTCTCTTTATCGCTAGCTCTTATAATCTTAGGTGTGTGTTTTATATAGAGAATTGCCAGTATTGATACCCTACGGAGTAGCGTCTTCTCTCTGAACGATAAACATAATTTCCTATTCAAGGTGTAGTATAAAAGTACCGCAATGCTACATGTATATGAGTACCTACTACTTCTTTTTGATCTCCCATCTAGCCCATACCAACCTACTAGACCTCACCGTTACCCCCAGCTGAAGGCCCAAAATTTAATTACAAAGAATTCTTCAAGGGGCAGCAGCGATGTGAACAGGTCCATTAGTTCATCTATTCCATGTCCCCTGATAAAACTTGTTTCCTAAGCCTTGCATGTAGATCGATGCAATATGAGCCTTGCAGTAATTCACATACCATCGGCCAATGCACCGTAGGCCACTTTCAGTCGCCTCCACAGCGGGACTTCCATCTTTCCGTTTGTCCGCAGCTCGTTCAACTGCCGCAAAGATCTCCCAATTTCCATATAACTCTCCACCGTGACGCGGATGGGGCCTTGGGCCTCCAATGGAAGCCTCCCGGTTGCCGCCTCTGTCATTCTATACCACTCATCCGCTTGATCGAGCAGTCTCATCCTCAGGCTCTGTATTTGTGGATCAGTGGGACAATCCAGAACCTTGGCTGGTGTGAGCCCTTTCGCCTCTAACCAGGTTGTGGGTATATACACGCGCCCGATTTCTGCATCGCATTGAATGTCTCGGGCGATGTTGATGTATTGGAGTGCTTGGCCCATGAGTGCGCCTGCGGTGATCGTCTGTTGGTGCGTGTGTTTATTAAGATTTTGTGGGCGGTTGTGGGCGACGGTTAGCTGGATGACGGATTCGGCAACCGTTCCTGCGACACGGTAGGCATACTTCTCCAGATCTGCTTCGGTTAAGATTGGAGATTTGGTATGGCTGGTGTTGAACTCGAGATCTGTTTCGAAGCCCTTCAGCAGGTTTTGAAGAGGTTCGATCGACAGCCTTTCAACAGGAAGATGCTCGATGGACGATAGCAGGACTGGGCCACAGCGTATGCTCTTCGCCATGTTCTTTCCTTTGAATCTCTGCTCAAGAAGCAGTGCACACTCTTGAATTACAGACCGTGCCGTATTGCTGTCTGGTGCTTCATCCACTAGATCATCTATCACTCGGCAAAATGAATATCTATACACATTAGTATGCGGCACGACAATATCCTGAAGCACTGACAAATAGATCAAGTCAATGCGAAGCTGGCCTTCAAACATGGCACTTCCCATGTACATACTCTGGCTGCGCTGCATAAGTCTCATCACTGCATCGCGTAGATCATGTATATACTTCATGTTGAGCTCTTCATTCCGTCTGTTAATAAACTGCGTGAAGAGCTGTCCATAAGATGGAAATTCCGTCTCTGAAGTGATACCCATGTTATATATACCCAATGCAATCGCATTGTCAATGGCCATTTGACCAAGCACAATCATGATGTTCGTTACAGCGAAGAATATCGCTTCCCTAAGACACATTAACTCAGATAAGCTTGCTCTCTCATAGGCACCTACTCGATGTCCAGACTCCCCCAGAGTTGAATATCTAACTTAGTGGCTGACTCGATCACCCATGTCCCCTTTCCCAAGGCGATAGTATCTACAACCCATAGAAAAAGAGTGGGTATACAGACCGCCAGAGATATCTCTCGAAGTGGAAGTCGTACAATAAATCGATAGGCCACCAGCCTATTAGAATTAGCGTGCACCATTCATCGATCGTGTATGCTTACCATTGAATCATCATGAATGGGCAGATCCAAGCTAGAATGAGCCCTAGGTAGGTATACCGTCCACCTTGAAATATACTAGCCAGTCCCAAAATTTGACACGAGCCGATAATGACAATTCCTAGATTTCTTTTCAGTGCATCTTGCGGTCCAAGATACATAGGCATGACAAAGCGCTTTGTTAGAATAATGTACGCCAGGCTTGTATTGTACGTCTGAATGACGAAGAAGAAAACCTCCTCAATGGGAATCAAGCATATTCTCGGTCCTAGTATCGCATATGGTGGGTATGTCCAGATCCGAGCCCTGATAAGATAGGAGTCCCAGGGAATGGTTGATATGACCGCAATCTGGATGTATCAGCAGGTGTCGTACATTGGATTGAGAGGACATACCGTAATAAGCGTTGCTATTCTGTATAGATCCAGCTTTGTAAAGAAAGGCCAGTAAGCCAATGTCATCACCACTGCGAGTGGGATGTTGTATGTCAAATGCCTAGACAATAAGCGTGGCTAGCATAACATGTTACTTCGTATACTTACACCATGAGATAGTCTAGGCCCATTTTGAAGTGTCTTGGATGATGTCAATATGTGAACTGCACAGTCCGAGAAATCGACGGATTCAAAAACTCCCAGCGTCTATTGCAACAAATGTGTGGTGGAAATACTATTGCCGTTTCCACTCTGGATGTAGCATTGCTTTATAGATCTTGGATCGTGCAGATCATTGAATGTCGTCAATCACCCCTCGGTGGCCAGTGTGGCTACTAAAGTTTGACACGCATAGTGAACTTTATTGGTATGCCTATTTAGGCATATGGTGCGTCTGAGACTTGATATCGAAATCGAAAGATACAGGACCACATATTACACTGTTACCGTTACCGATACAGGCTTAATACACATGACGTAGATAACCCTGGTTCGGGGGCTCACAATTTGAGGATAAACTTGGAGCTTCGTCAAGGTCTGTCTTGACCCAACTGTCGTTCACCCTATTAGGCTGCCATTGGAGCGCGAATCTGTATCCACTGTGACATCTTACTGAAGTCTAACAAGGCCTTGACCGTCGTAGCCTACATAAAAAATTGTTTCATCTTTCTTTTGGGTGAGACTTCCGGCAGAACTGAATTACCATTATAGCATTCAGACATTTTTCATTGGTATCGCTATAAAAAGGTAAGATTTCGGAAATTCTCAAGTTTCTAACGATGTCTAACCTGTAAGTGGCTGACAGCCTACATGAAGCATAACAACGCTACTGAATCCCCTTCGGCATAATCACCGTCTATGGCAGTTATGGACTCTTCTACGCTTCTTTATGGCACACGCTCCGTTTACACCAATCGACATGATGATATGAAGAGAAGAAAATTTCGCGACCTTGTGATCAGCGACAACATAACAGTTCCCGGTAATGCAATTGTATCGAAAGGGTCCGTCAACGCCATGCCATTTGCCGACGATGCGCCACAGAAAGATGCCTCGTGCGAGCCTAATATCTAATACTAACATTATAAACATAGTATGAGATTGGTGTGTTTTCACCTACTCTAATAATAGAGACTTTCCTCGGCGATAAGGCGGAGGTGGGGAGTATACGAAGTACCTACCAGGCTAGGGGGGCTTGTGAAAAGCTATCAGAATGATGTCCACGGTGACGTGGCGCATGCAATCATGAACACAGTCCAAAGTCTAGTTGTATTATTGGCATACATAAACGGACTCAACTGTACATGCCATTCGGAATGACAACTGTGCTAACGTCTGAACCGGCTGTTTGATGCCACCGTCCAACTGTCCACCAGCAAGCGCTCGCAGAAAATCAAGTAATAGTTTGCTTGGGTTGAAGAAAAGGATGTGCGGCCAGTTCGCCTGCCGTTCTTCTCTTATTTGGGTGCCAAACCAGAATTTTCTTGACAAGGTCAACGAAATTATCTCTCTCCTCTTCATCGAGAAAGGAAACCGCGTCGTCTAATGTTCGGTTGGGAATCAAGTCTTCGTATATGAAGCGGCCTAAAATAAGTAAGTAATCTGGAAATCTCCGGATAAAGAAACACATAATACCGTTGTTGTCAAAGAATGGCCCATCGAAGTACTCCTCCGCGGTCTCACATAGTCTGTCATCTTCTCGTCTAACAGGTTCCGGCCACGGGTATTCTCGCATGTATTGATACCTTTGCATGATCTCTGGAGGGGGTGGGCCGAGTAAGGCCACCATTTCAGCCATGTGTAGTTTAGCATCGTAGCGCCCTTGTTTATCATGGATATGCTGGAATAGCTCTTTGCCTTCAATCAAATCCCATAGCTTGTCCCAAGTTAGTGAATGCAACAGACTTAGGGAATAACAGAACGTACCAGAACACCAAGGTTCCAGATATCTGCAGGCATTTGCCACCCAATACCCAATATCACCTCTGGTGCCCGATAGTGGTCCGGCTGAATAGGCCAGACACCCCAATCATCGTCTTCTTCGAGTCTCGTTGCCAAGCCAAAGTCAACAAGCTGTGGTATACTTCTCAAGCTTTTGAGGGGCCCGAAGTCACTGCGAGACTGATACACTGGTCGCCCTGTCGAATCGACCTTAAAGGCCATTGGCTTTTCAAGCTGAGATTCAATAAATTCAGCAAGAACAGTTGGGTCCTCAAATGAGACCATGATGTTTTCGAGCTTGATATCTACAAAGTCACCTGAGTTTAGTACCACCGATGAGAAGCCTTGAAAGGGGCGTGATAGACTTACCTGTATGAACAGTTCTGCAATCTTTGTGGAGATAATCGAGGCCCGTAAGAAGGGCACGGATGTATGTTTTGACGAGTGGCAATGGCATCTTTTTCTCATCAAAACGCCGTTGATACATCGATAGTGGCTCCCTCATTGGCGGATACACAAGACATGAATGAGAACCTTCTGGACCTTCAATTTGAAAAGAGTCCAGTAATGTTCGGATGAGTGAGCGGCCGCGATGCGATGGGTCTGCCGTAGAGATGTGCTCTTCAACTTCACACTCATGACCAGCAAAGCTTGCATTGTTATTGGCAATTTTTAGTGCCACAACGCTCCCGGGCTCCTCAATCTGCCTGTATGTTGGTCAGCGACAGCAAGTCCCAAATGGCGGAGATTTCATTGAAGGCTACCTTTGCAAATCGCACGCAAGCCATACCGTTGAAGACACGCCCCAGCCAACCTTTACCAGAGTCTGGTAACGGTCGCCGAGTACCTCTCCCGGCTTCGCTGGATAGAAGTACTTGGAATTGTAAACTGGCGAGATCTCCTCATCAACGAGTATGCCGGGCGGTAAAGGTGGCCCGGCAGAAGGCATGGGGAACGGTTTCTTGCGAAGCAAGGCAGTCAAACGAGGAACGGATAACCTCAGAGGATTCATTACAGAGAACTTTCCTTCAAGCCGAATGGCACTTGTGTAATTCATGGGTTGTTGTTCAAGAAGTTGACAATCATTGGCACGATACAGGTCGCTACGTGACTAATCCTGATACGGGTTAACCTTTCAGCCAATAATATCATCCAACGCTCCCGAGCTCAAGCGAAGTCAGCCCTGTGACCATTTGATATTGATTATGGTAAGTAATATATGGCATCTTGACGTCAAGCAAAGTCACTTATAGTAAGATATAAGTTATATCCGGGATACAAAAACACGCGTATTATGATTTCACATGGTTTACAATGGCCATAAAGTGTGTTTGTATTGCAGCTAGTGCTTAATGAAAGCACTAGGTCAAGATCTAGGTAGGTGATATCAGCGTTAAATCCCCTAGCACTTTAACTCATCATGGTACTTTACTACCATTTAAATAGAATGAACAGCATCAAATAAAACTGATGTTCAAGACATGTACTAATCACCACCAGGTACCAATCAATATCAAAGTATATCCTAAAGGTTCCGAACAGGATCCTGTCCAGTCGGCAGAAATTCCTGGGTTGGCTTTCCAAGACTGACCGTTGATAGCACGTGTACCAGACAGCTTAGGAGCAACTGTTCGAGTTGCTTTGAAAGGAACAAGGTATAATGTAAATAGTTAATATAGGATGTGTAGGATGTGTAGGATGTGTAGGATGTGTAGGATGTGTAGGATGTGTAGATAGGCGCTACTGCCATGTTGTCCAGGCTTCCTCACACAGTCATACTTGGTTCCGCTTATAACATAGCACTATATTCTCCAGCGCACGCTGGCTCTCGCAACGTATTCTATAAAGAGCCTTCGTAGGGTGTCACAAAAAAACAATACTGTAGAACCTGTAGGTCCATTCACTGCCTCTCTTTAAGGGCTGCTTCGCAATATGGTTGCGGAGGTTTCACGCAACCCCCTGGTTCACTTAAGGGGCCTGGCAGTATATTCAGGCTCTGTGCAATAGTGGCCTATGTTACAGGCTCTAGCATGTAAAGAACCATTTAATAAATATTCTGCCGGTAGAATCGCTCCTACTACTCGGAAGAGAGGAATACGGGTTTGTTGTTATGGTAGGGAAGATGGCCTGAGGAGTGGCTGTCCATCGGCTGTTTGGAACAGTAACGCCGACCGGAACCCGGATGCTCACTGATTTCCTTGCTCGCGCCTAGTTTGGCCTAGCTAGTTGTGTAAAATGTAAATGGCTAGTTAGTGGCAGCGAAAGCAGGTCTAGACTAGACTAGTCAGCGGGAATGATAAAACCGCGCCGTCTGACGGCCGGTCGATTTAGCGTCTGTGCCGGTGGCATTAGTGAAGCTGTGCTTATTTGACAGCGGCCCCTCCCCCTTAGCAGCATCGGTTCGTGTGCATTTCTACCGCTGCTGCATGGGTGAGCGAAGGTGATTGCATTTGAGATTGATTATAGTACAGAGTCACATATCTTTATCCTGAGCGAGATAGAGTCTAACGGCTAAGCTTCCCATTGGAGAATGCATTGGTGGTGGTGCATAGTTCACCCTGACCGTAAATCGGGGCAATGTGCTCCTGACTGCTGTCTACGATCTCAAAAACCCTGTTGATTTCCGTTTTCTTGCTTATACCCCTACCCCAGCCTTTATATCTCCCTAATTCGACGTTGGCGGAGCGGCTTCCCGTGAAAGTGGAGGTTTGTCGCGATCCGAAAGGCGATCGAAGCTTGATGAGTTTGCGCAGGGACGAAAGGGAGCCGGACATGAGACCAAGGTTGAACTCAAGTTCCATCCAGATGAGTGAATTAGCGGCCGTGTCTGTTATTGGTAATAATGTGTAAGCGAGCTGGATATTCTCATCAAACCACTGATACCATTATACTTACAGGTGTAGTCTGTTTCGTCCCTGGCATAGGTCAAAGTGCTGAAGCGAACCAGTGCCGCGATGCACGCTGTGAATCCTGAGCGGACATAACAGTCAGTTGCTATTTGGTCCAGGTGAGGCTTTCGCATACCAAGACAAAATAGTCCAAGTACCAAGACCCTTCGTCCAAGTGGCATCTGAAGCTGCCACACGCGACGGATCGGAAGTGCGAGTATGGTCAGATCCATCACAAACATGATAACACCTTGCGCCATGAGGATGGCAAAGGAAGTGTCTACACTGTAACATTTAGCATCAAGGATGGTTTTGTCGAATCCAGCGCGAACGGGTCGACATTGGAATGCGAGAGCCAGAGTTCCTGCGAATGTGAAGGCCGCTAGGAATCCCAATATGCATCTGCCAGCGATGCTAATGTTGCGGGTGGGGAAAAGCCGCACTATAAAGACAGTTAAACTTGTCTTGACCGATGCAGCAACAAGCAAATAGCTGCAGAGCGCAGCATAGTAGATCTAAGTATTGCCTGTGACCTCAGCCGCTGTCCAATCCAGAGGGTGTGTTAACTCAGCGTACCTTCCACCAAACCAGCAGGTCCGCATCTGAAACATCCTTGGTCTTTTTTCCGAGACCATAGTAGGTGATGGTATATGCAAGCGCCGAGAATCCGTTTACCATGATCTGTTGTCGGTTCAGTAACTTTTCTCACACCGCTCGAGCATTCGGGGAGACTAACGAGAGCGACCATTACCATCCAGTCATCCAGTCCCCATGAATTTAGAACAGTTTTCCGTAGGTAGAGCTATGCGACATGTCATTGCATGAGTTGTGCTTTTCATCCTTATCAGGCGTCAAGTACATACCCGGAGACCGCAAACCAGGGTAGTTGGGATAGCAAGGACGAGGACTATGATACGGACAGTAGTAGCCATTGTAGGTAGACCACCATCTCGTGGTATGACCGTCCAGTCCATCCTGCAATTAATCTAATCTCCCACACCGGTCATTGCTCGTATGGCATGGTAGAAATGTCGAGTCCAGAGGGGGGAGCATGTCGAGGATAAAGTCCCCCGTTATTGCATTTAGCCAGGATTAAGTTGAAAATCTCTGATAAAGAAGGAATCAGATCCCTGTACTATAATGGACAACGCGAAAGGCAAGAAAATGGTTGGCGTAGGATAGCGTATGTGACTACCAGACTAGGGCTGTTCTAGCCCCGCAAATCCTGGGCTTTGTTCCGCGTGCCGGCTCCATGTCCGTTACCAATGAGTGCTATTTAATGAGCACGGTGGATACCGTTCGTAGTCACTCCTTTTCGTGAACATCCTCATTTCTTTTTCTTTATTGACCGGGGTATCTGGTAAGCAACCCTGTCATTCCAGCCTCACACACAAGCCATAATGAGCTGCGCAGCAGTCATTGCAGCGATCGTTCAGGGGGCGAACGTTGACACTTCCACAACCCCAACAATCGAGGCCCTACTGTCCAAGTATGCAGCACTTTCGGATGATGAGAAGGGCTCTGTACGGGCATCCCATCTTGCCCAAGTTTTCCCTTTGTTTTTCGGCGAAAATGCCATCTTCCGGGAATCGGATGGGTATGATACCCAACGTCAAGTACCCTGGTATGACAATTGCACATCCTCGAAGCACATTTACAATCAGACTGATTCTGTTACACAGGTCAATCAATTGCTGGCTCCAACCATTAGTTGTGGTCACAGCAACGTCAGCACAAGAAGTCGCAACTGCTCTTGCTCTCTGTCGTTTCTTCAACATTAACTTCTCTGTCCGCGGTGGTGGTCACCTACAGAACCCGGGGTTCACCAGCAACAACGGCGGAGTAGTCATCTCCCTGAGCAAATTCAACCATGTCAAGCTGTCGGACGACAAGTCTACCGCTGATGTTGGTCTTGGACTAAGGTGGCTTGATGTCTATAAGGCTCTCGACCCTTATGGTCTTGCAGTGGCAGGAGGTCGAATTCCAACTGTTGGTGTCCCAGGTCTTCTCCTGGGAGGAGGGATCTCCTTCCAAAACAGTCAGTATGGAGTGGGCGCAATGGGCGTGTCTAATTATGAGGTAGTCTTGCATGTACACTGCACTCCTTCCAAATCCTCGCTAATTAGATCACAGGTTGTCCTCGCAGACTCAAGCATTGTCAATGCCAATGCGCAAGAAAATCCAGACTTATTTTGGGCCCTCAAGGGAGGCGGTCCTAACTTCGGTAAGCCGTTTCTCGGAAGTATAATGATTTGATTACTGACCAAACCCCAAGGTATCGTAACCAAGATGGACCTAGTGACAGTGCCTACCGAGTCGTGGGCTGAAGCTCGTGTTTACCCTCCAACAGCCTACCCCGAGCTCGCCAAGGGTCTCATGAAGTACCATGAAGCAATTGAAGTCGACAACAAGGCATCTCTCGTCTGGCATGCTACCAGCCAGGCAATTCTTCTCGTCTTCTTCTACTGTGCACCTGTCGAGAAGCCTGCTGCATTCCAGTCATTCTATGATATTCCCTTCTTGATGAACTTTGTGCCGCCGGGCACTCGCTCGATCTATGAGCTTGTTCAGGCAGTTGCCTCAGTTATCTCACCCGAGGTTTTGCAGTAGGTTATAACGATACTTCAAGGCGTGTGGGATGCTAACAGACCCTTAGTCATGAGTTCCGAACAATGTCCAGTCGGCCATGTTTAGAGTTGTACGAAGCAACCGAGAAGGTCCGCCGAGAACAACAGGAGGCTTTGAGTGACGTTGAAGGCCTTGTCCTGACCAACGTATTCCAGCCCATGTCTTCCTTGGCCATGAAACAGAGTCAGAAGGATGGTGGAACGCCTCTTGGGCTAGAAGCAGTAGGCCAGCAATGTATGTTGCCCTCCTTTTGGTATGCTCGCGAAATTAACAAGATAGGGTTCCTGTCAATGGCCGACTGGAAGCATGCGAAAGATGAGGATCGCGTCCGAGAAGCAGTCTGTAAGATTGTGGATGTTGCCGAAGCGACAGCAAAGCAGGCTGGCGCGTATCTTCCATACCGGTACTCCAACTATGCGTCTCGCGATCAAGATCCACTATCCAGCTATGGTGCTGAGAATGTAGCAAAGCTCAAGAGCATTGCTGCGAAGTACGACCCTGACGGGGTGTTTCAGAAGTTGCAGAACGGTGGATGGCTGCTTTCGAAGGTAGGGTCGCAGTCAAGGTCTGTGAAGTTGGCATGAGTATTACATATCTCGGATATACTGGTATGGATAATTGAAGGTGATTTAATGATAACAAGGCGACGATATATTGATAAATCCTGTTCTTGAGAACTCAAGGGAAGTTGTCCGTCGAAACTGTAGATTGAGAAATATACGTGGTTATGTGATAAGTGATCTCCATCAGCAATTCATGCAAGGAAGTTAATGCTCCCATCTTTGAACAACCACAGCCCGAATCAAACCGAGTATAATTTAAACTATTTGGAGGCTCTTGCTATATACTATTGCCTTCCAAACAGACCCTACATCTTCGTATGGATGACCTAGCGAATATCCACATGCTATATTGAGGCCCTGAGAACTTTGACAAACGAGTCTAGAAGCTTTAATCCTGCCAGAGCAAGAGATTTTATTGTAGCTCATCTAGATACAACAGAAACCTCGTCTCGTGGTTATGTTATAGAAAACCAAATGCTCATGACTAGTATAGCCCTAGTGCTGAGCGCATGGCAAAAAAGCTAGATACAATTGAAGCATAAATAACAGAAGTAGGATGTATACCACGATCAAAGATGCAATTTATTTCCTCAACGTTGGATAACTGGAGAAGGAATAATCAGCGAATGCAAACAACCAAGTAGACCAACTTACACTCACCATCACCTCAGCTTGCCTGCGGGTATACTTGGAAAGACTTGAATCCCTGACCCTGGGTCCAACATCCCGAGCCCCCGAAAGTGTGAAAGTTATTGCAAGCGCCGCCGCTTGCTCCATCGAAAACCCAATCCTCAGGGATCTCAGCCCTGATAGACTGAATGGTCGGGTTGTATGTTTCAAGCGAGTAGCACCCGTAACTCTGGTTTCCGGCGTATGACCACTTATATTCGGTGCACTCGGTGTCGGTGTAGAGGGTCACGTTCCAGTGTACTGCGAGGGAAGTACCAGCCAAAGCTGCGATGGGGAGGATGGAGAGAAGCTGCATGGTGATGATATTCTTTGGTTTGAAGATGAAGGTGTGGAGTCTGAAGGTGAGTGGAAGCGGAATTGTGAATTCTCCGTTGGTTGTTTGAGTCTGTGGGTTAATTCTGGGGACATCACTGCAGATTATATATTGTCTTCTGACTCCTCGTAGCTGTAACTGAAGACAGGCTTACTAGATGATCGACATTTAGGCCCGTAAGGCGTCCAGTCATTTAGCCAACGAAGTAAGTCCAAAATAGACATGTCCCAGACGCCTGACGCCTAAGCTAAAAGCAGCTACATTGTTCATTCATTAAAGTTAATGATAGACGGAGATATACGAAGTCTGCTGCGCTGTTCATGTGTCGATTGGTGATGGTGGATAAGCGTGGGTAGATCGATCTGCAATTTGGAAGGCTGAGTAGACCCTTGGAGGCCTGATCCATAATATTCCTTGGCTTGTATGAGCAACCCATCGTGGACTTCAGCTGCCAAGGTTTATGGTTAACAAGTGAGCATGAGATCGACGATTCAACTCTACTGATAGTAAAGTAGTGCTCTTGCACGTAAATGACACCTGAATATTCAGGCTCAACATGTAAGGCTGTTGCCTGGATTTGACCGAGGATGTTTGCACATGTGTACTGTTTGCATCATCACCAAACAACAGCTCCAAAGGTATCCACCATCACATCACATCACATCCTGCCCACCAGTACAGCATAGACATCATACCCCGTCGCTATATTCCTCCCTGCTGCACTATATACTATATATCACTCTTTTTGCGCAGCGCATCCCTTTCTATAACACACACCATGGCCGACGGCGGAGGCTGGAGCACAATCGAGTCCGACGAGGTACGCTACCAAGCAACATCGCAGCATACATTAGCAGCAAACCTAACAAGCAAACCATCAATCAGGGCGTCTTCACCTCCCTCATCGAGAACCTCGGCGTCAAGGACGTCCAATTCGAAGAACTGATTTCTCTCGACGCAGACACAATCCGCTCACTAAGGTAACCCCCATACCACCTTCCACCAACACCTCACCTCATCTCATCCACCACACCCACTAACACCTACCTCTCACCCAAACCCAGCCCCGTCTACGGCGTAATCTTCCTCTTCAAATGGACCCGCGAAACGCAACAACCATCCACCTCAACAACCTCAACGACCTCACCCCCCTCCGGCACCTACGACACCGACCCATCCCCTAACCTCTTCTTCGCGAACCAAACGATCCAAAACGCCTGCGGCACACAAGCCATCCTCTCCGTGATCCTGAACAACGACTCCTCCTCCTCATCCTCCTCCTCCAGCAACCCCTACCCCATCAACATTGGCCCGGAACTCCACTCCTTCAAGGACTTCACAGCGGGATTCCCACCGGACCTACGCGGCGAAGCGCTCTCCAACTCGGAACTGATCCGGAGCGCACACAACGCGTTCGCGCGCGCCTCGCCATTCGTCGACGAGACCGTGCGGAATAACCAGGACGAGGAAGGGGATGTATACCATTTCATTGCGTACACGCCTGTTGATGGGAAGTTGTATGAGTTGGATGGGTTGCAGCCGCATCCGATTTCGCATGGGGGGTGTACGGCGGAGGAGTTCCCCGAGAAGGTGATTGAGGTGTTGAGGCAGAGGATTGCGCGGTATCCCGAGGGGGAGACGAGGTTTAATCTGATGGCTGTGGTGAGGGATTTGAGGGTCACGGCGAAGGAGATTGGGGATGTGGAGGCGTTGGAGAGGGAGGAGAGGAAGAGGAGGGCGTGGGCTTGGGAGAATACGTTGAGACGGTCGAATTTCGTGGGGTTCATTGGGGAGGTGTTGAAGGGGGTGGTGGGGATGAAGGAGAAGCAGGGGGAGGGGAAGTATGAGGAGTGGGTGGAGAAGGCGAAGGGGGAGACGCAGAGGAAGTTGATGAGGAGGTAGAAATCATGCCTATTATCCTTATATTGCCTACATGGCTCCGGAGATGAAGGTTCTACCTAGTAAATCCGTTGAGATTCATAACTATGACATATCTATGTACAGTGGCAAGGCCGATGTCTGTTGAAGAATCGCTTCGTCATTCATGTCATCCGACTCATAATCGTAAAAGGCAAGATATTATTAAGATAGGCTTAGTAGTCGATCATGCGAGATTTGATCACTTGTACCAAAGATTCGGGCAGCTCATCTTCCCGGATGATTTTCAGCGCCAGTAAATCGGACCAGAAGAACATCGCGCGGTCCTGCGCATAGCCCAGGTAGTCGAACTCTTCGGCTTCGTCCACATCGGCATCGACTGGCGGAGTTCCGGTGGAATGGTTCGCTTGAGCTGACACGTCTGAATGCACACCGTTGCCATTGGTACCATGGTGGCCGTTTTGGGCTTTGGCTGCGGCTTCATCTGCTGCGATACCCTCCTCCATGCCAGGCACCTTGGCCTGCACGATGCCCCAGGCTACCCACTGCGCGGAGTTGAGTACTCGCCACAGCCTGGTTTGTCGCGCGTAAAACTGGATCTTAGCGCTGGTGCTGTCTTCGTGCGCTTTCTCGATATCGAATCGAGAAGACACGTCCACATCCGGACCGTCATCCAGGTTCAACGGAGCTAGTGATGATGTGTTGGTAGAAAGGCCCCGCATCAGAGGGGTGATGGATGGGGAGGCTTGCTCGCGCAATCCGGGTCGATGGCTCAGATAGGCTTCAATGAACTGATGCTGCTGTTCTGGATTCGGATAGCGGCTGGTGTCGCATGCCCACGGCCGCTCCGCATCATGATAGTTGTAACACCATTCAGTCTATTGGGGTCAGCAAGGGACTTTCTATCATTGAAAAACACTTGACTCACGAAGTGGTTGGCAAACTCGATTCCTGGAGTGTTGGCTGATGCATATTCGAAGTCAATGACAACTAGCTGCTTATGCACGTTCTCAGGCCGGAGCAGCGGTGATTCATGGCTGGGCTCCATCCGAAGCAGATTGCCATATTGAGTCTAAATCATTAGCGCAGTCTTTGAAAATCGGGAAGAAAGCTCCTACATCATTGTGCGCAAACACCAACTGTCGCTTTAATCCGTCCATGCCTCCACAGCTGGACAAAAGCCACTTACGATATCCTTCAACTGCCTTTCTGAAGGAGGGCCAGGGAACACCGCAGACAAAGCCTCGCCGACGCCAAGCTTCGGATGCTGCTTTGCTCTTGTTGTGCTCAGATCGGATCTCCTTGTCCAGCCAATTGATTACTTGCTCGCAGCGGTCTACCCACTTATCCCAGTTGTTGAAGACCATGGGCCCTCCTTCCCTCTCATCTACAAGGAGATCGATTCCATCGTGCAGTTCCCTCATCCGCTTCGCAATTTGTTTCATAGTCGGAGGATCGCGGAGCTCCTTGGGTGTAAGTGGGCGAGCTTCGAAGTATTCTTCAAACCTTCCGTTGTTGAATGTACCCAACACCTTCGGGCCAATATTCTTTCGGCCTAGACGGCGGAGGATCTGAAGCTCGTTATCTCGGTCAATCAAGTGATCTACTTGTGGCCCATAGATACGCAGCAGTAGCTTCCTACAAAGGGTTAGCTTCTGGATTGTGTGTGTGATTTAGGTAAGGAAACTTACGGTGGGGGTTTTCTGGGTACCAATGAGTATGATCCATCTTCCGCCTTGGGCACAGGAATATTCTGTGGCGGTGTAACTACATATACGGCATTGGTTAAGGCTCCACTGAGTCGTACGACTCCCATATCAGTTGCAAGTTCCATGGGAAGCTTTCGCCATCCTTTCAGCTGCATGGTATGAGTGAGCCGAAGGATTTCACTCTTGAACAGCGCCCAGGCTTCTTTATCCTTCGCACGTCTCGCATTGACACTGTTCTCATTGTCGTCATCTTCAGTACCACCACCGCCGCTATAAGCGAGGGTTTTTGAGTTATCCAGCACTGCATCCACGCTAGGGGCGGCTGCCTCGTGGTCCGAAAAGTCGGATTCGGACGCAGAACCCCTACGCAACCCCTTGGAGTATTGACGCCGACGACCGGATCGTCGAGCGAGGTGTACAGAGTCTGTTCCCTGGCGGGAAGTGGCGTACTGAATGAGAATCTTCTCCAGCTTGTCGAGGGCCATTGCGGCGTCGGCACCAGAAGATAGAGGTCTTTCCACGAGGACGCTGGCACCGTCATCATCGTCATCGTCACCATCACTGGCGACACCATCCATGGCTAAATCTGTAGCCTTGTAAGACCTCCGTTTGGATTTTTCGCGCTGAAGCCATTCGTAGACTTGTGCGAAAAGGCTATTCTGCGGGTCTTCCTCGCCATTTTTCGACATGCCATCTTTTTCAAGGCGATGCGCGGGTTCAGTAATAACGCTGGAGGTTTGACTACTTAGAGAAGCCGGCTGGTGAGTAGGCAACCTGGCTGCCGATTTCTTGGGTGCAGGCACACGATGTCTGAAGGCATTCCCTTCTGACCCAATTGCAGAAGGCTCGTGTCCATTTGTGTGGTGATGTCTCTGGGGGGAGACGTTTAAACCAGTCCCCAGAATAGGTTGTGGTCCTTTAGATGACAGGTCAGAATCCATCAACACTTAGAGGGTAGTCCAGACAGGGAAGGTTAAAGGACCGCAAAAGGGAGGGGTTTAGGACGGTTGATCGAATACCAGCAGTCGCAGTGGGCTATGAGATCATTTGGCCCGGAAGCAGAGCCTCGGAGAACCTACGACTACGGGGTTGTGGGAGCCCAGGGAAAGGGGGAATGGGTTGACGGGAAGTTAACCAAGAAAGGAACCTACCATCAAATTCAAGACCAGGAAGACCGGTCTGGTCGGTGACTGAGGGCATGTCCAGACAATGGCGAAGCGTACGTTGAATTGGAAAATAGAGTGATCCGGTAACCCATCCAAGGCCGTAAGTGCGGGAAGCAGATCACTTTGCGACTGGACGTGGCGTAATCGGCACCTGGAAACTGGCGGAGAATTTGGAGCTGGGGATCCTCCGTACTATATGCCAGGTCCGTGCGGGTACACTGGGAGAAGAACGGATCACAGGAGCTGGAACACTCAGGGACGGCCCAAGGTGGTCTTTGAGAGAATAGCTGGATAGTGGATGGATTGATGGAGTTGACACTGCGAACGGAACTGGAGGGGATAATGGATTTGGGGCACACAGGGGAGGAAAAAATGCGACCAAGTGGGGACAGAGATAAGTAGCGGTCCAGCAAAGGGAAAATACGGTCGGAATCCGATCCCGTTCGTCACTTTCTTTTAAGAAGCAAAGCTTGAGAATTTCGCAATGAAAAGGAAGCTGAACAAATTCAGACCGCACCAGGAATGGACAACAAACGTGGTGACGGCCAAGGCGGACGAAAATTGACGACAGATGGCTGAGTGGCGAAGGACGGTGTGGTGTGGCTTGTCGAAGAAAAAAGAACGATCGTAGAGGTTGAGCCGCGAAGGTGGAAAATGATGGAGCATCGAGGAACGGGGATTCAACGTGTGTGTCTCAGGTGACTTGGCAGTTTCCACCCGTCAAACCCACAATAATCCAGGGTCTGCTGCTATGATTCAATCGTTCAACAAAAAGGTACCATGTTCAGCTAGAAACGCCACAGACGCAGGCTGCTAAGGGGACACCTCTCGTATGTGGACGTGAATATTGTAGCTAGTCTGGTGGCACACGACACCTGTTGTTTGCCCACCTCCTGGTCTTTACTCGACTAGGACCAATCCCGAGGCATTGTTTGGACCAAAGTATGGGTCGCGACCGGGGACCGAAACGTTGTTGTCATTCACTCGCACACCGGAGAGAGATAAGCAGCAAGCAACCTGACCGCAACCTCGGGAGGATGAGCGTGAACATCATATGTAGACGCCCGTGCTTATACTCCGTAGAAGAGACTGGCATCGTTCCATCAATCTGGGTGTAGATCAGGCATACTGCATTGAGTCGCATTGGGGGAAAAGCCTTGAGTGTGCCACTTAGATTAGAAGATAGATGGTCCATCTTGACACAGGAAGAAGCAGTTGTTTGCTTTACTCCGTACAAACGGTCAACGGTAGAGGCCCACATAGTGATGTCTCCATCGATAATCCTCAATTCTTGTCACCGTTATTGGGCCGGGATGAGATTTTGTCGCACAGGGTATCTCTATGAGTTTCATACTGGAAAACGCAGTCGCAACGGGCATTCTTTGCTTCACTTGTCATGGTTCCGTTCACACTTATTGTGTCGGTGGGAAAGTGAGAGAAAAGATGAAGAGAAGAAAGAGGGGTTGGCGAGGAGGGGGAAATAAGCCACATCTCCGGAATGTGTTCCTTGCTGCCCGTCTTTTCAGGCATGACTGCAGGCCGGCCTGATTCCAGCGCGATCTCGTCATATTGGTCCAATGATATCTCCCACTTCATAGTGTTACTATGGTCGGATCAACTTTCATTCTCAATATAATACTATGGTCAAATCTGATCACATTTCCAAGGCGAGAAGCTCAGGACTTACAGTGTTGCGTTCTATGAGGTTGGCTGATCAAATACTCAGCCAGCTAAACCGACATATGCCTCATCATTCAAATCGAAATTCGTTCTTTTACTGACAAATATAGCCATCGCCAACTTAGCCCATCAATCCAAGTTCTTCGCCATATAAACTCGCTTCCACCCCTTATTATCCGCACGATGTGTCTCCGCATAGCCCATCCGTGTATATATGGCTATATTCTCAACCATCGTCTCATTCGTATGCAGCTGAAGAGTGTGATAGCCTGCCAACCGAGCCGACTCGTCAGCGAACTCTAAAAGCTTGCGACCTAACCCAGTACCCCGTGCAGACTGAGCAACGGCTAGATTATCCACGATCATGGAGCCCTCCTGGGGGACAAGCATGACGGTGCCCTTTATTTCACCGTCTCGCTCGATCACGTAGACGACTCCGTCTTTGATCAGTGCAGTGTAGTCGTCTAGCATCGGCTGGGGCTTCCTTCCAATGCGAGCGATGTAGATAGAGAAGGCTTCTTGTATGATTGTGTCGATGATGGGTTGATCGTCGGGCGTTGCTTGTCGGATACTGGTAGACATTCTGTGTCTGGTCTGTCCTTCAATTTGAGGGATCTTTTGATCTTGTGACGCGATTTGGGAGGGTTTGTCTTTGTAGCAAATTAGTTAGAATTTGCTCAATAAGTGAATGTCTCTTTCTTACTCAATGTGGAGATAATTTTGAATGCAGTAAATGTACTGCGATCTGTTGTCGTTGCGGGGATGTCTGTGACTCAATCCTTGTCGGATTCGGAGGAATCTACGCGCTATTACAAGTGGTCATCTTGAGCTAGTGGTTCATCCGTCCAATGATGAGTATAGTTACATGTAAGCCTCTTGTATTTGTGTCAGCACTTCTATATCGTCTATAATGTCACTATGCAAATAATGCAGGGGTAGTAGACCAGCTACTCTAACGGAAACTGAAATCTAGTTCCAGCAATGAATTGTTTAACCTTATGCCTGGTCCCCAGTCCGTAGCCACTTCCTAGTGGTAGGTGACACTCCACACTTTGTAGCCCTCTCGGGAGTGTTTGGTAGAGTTCATCTGCAGGCCTCCTTGACCGTCCAGTGTGATAACAGTCGAGTTGACATACTGCAGACCATATCCGTGACCATTGCCCAGGAAGGTAATCCTCACTTCTGCAGCATCACCCCGGCGACCAGCTGGCAGCAGACTTCCGTGTGGGCCAAGCCACTTGCCGTCCAGTGCACTGGAGAGTTTGAATATCTGGCTCTCTTCGCCGCTGGAATAATGAATCACCCATCTTTGTTTCTTGTCACTATGGTCCGAACGCGCTGCGCTGCTGCTTAACCTGGTTGTGTTTCCAGTATTGGTGAGCGCATACCCAGACTTCTCGAAAACGAGGTACCGTCCCTCAGTCAGGTAGCCGACAACCTCTTTGTATCCGTCCTCGAAAAACAATGACTCTGTCACATTCTGCTTCCCATATGGTACAGGAGGACGGGTCTCTGGGAACGTTGTTTCGCAGTTGGATGTGCCGACGTAAGAGCCTGAGGACATTTCAGGCTCTTCAGCCTTTGGCAATTTTGGGAGGCTGGTGTCGGGCTATTTCATGGATTAGCTCGATATCAATGTGGTGGACAGAGGGGGATGGTCGTACATGATCCAAGTCCAGTGCATTGACGAGGTTGGACATATGTTCCCGGCGCCAGTGAACCATTTCTGGCGTTTGCACATTCTCATAGCCCCTCGCCGTAAGCCACTGCTCCAAGAACAGAATTTGAGAATTATGATCCGCCCTCTCAGTGAAGACACGGTTGCCACGGGTCCACGGGGACACCATATAGAAGGGTACTCGAAGGCCTAAGAAGTCAGCGAGAACAATATGACATGAGTTGATGGCCGGGACTTACCAGGTCCAACATATAGTTTTCCAAAGACGCCATAAGGATCCTCCATCCACTCACCCGATGTGCCTTCTGGTGAGTGGAAAGGAATGACATGGTCTCCATAACCACCAGATTCTATCATATTGTTAGACTCGCTCGATAAGGGGCTGATCAGTTGTAGCTTACCGTCGTAGCTTATCATGAGCAGCGTAGAATCGTATTTGGGGCTATTCGTCACAGCATCCACAACCTTCTTCTGCAGCCAGGCACCGTCCTTGGGCATATAGGGTGGGTGCTCTGACAATTCCGCAGGTCCAACAATAAAGCTAATCTCTGGGAGGGTCCCGTTGGCAGCCGCTTCATAGAAGGTTTCCAATCCCAAAAACGCCATGCCTTTCTCTACGAGCGGTGAGGAAGATGAAGCGTTCTGGTACTGCTCAAACCGGGCCAAGGGGTTGTCATCAAAGTTGTCTTTATCCTGGTAGACCTGCCAAGAGACACCTGCTTCTTCATAGACTTCAAAGATTGTTTTCCACTTGAGGGGATAGCAATTAATATTATAGCTATCGCACCCTAGAAATCAACAGTCAGCTAAGTTCCAACGTATGATATAGTGTATGAGTAGCCGGAGCAGACGTACCAGGTGTTACATTGTTGTCGATATATACGCCGCCTTGATCAGGTTTTTGAGGACCACCAGGTACATTGACGGAGCCGCTCACTAGAGTAACACGATTCGGATTGGTGGAGGTTACTTGGGACTCCTGTAGGGTATTAGACATAGCTTTGACAGTGTGATAGCAGAACATACTTGATACATATCGCCGGTCGTCCAACCCTCGGCAATAGCATAATGAACAGGGATATCTTCTCTCTTGAAATATCCCCAACTCCAGGGGGTGTTATTGCGGGCCCAGTGGTTGTTCAGTCCTCCATTGAGCGAGGCATGGCTATCCTCGTAACCGTTGTCTCCCGCTGCCATGCACTGGATCGCGTCTGTCGTGTTCCCTCCTTGATAACCTAAATACCAAGGGAGGAGGGTTGTTGTAGCATTGGACATGTCAGGATCGACTTGTCTAATACTCTTATTAGCACAGGTCCTCGAAAACGTATGAAAGCACACTGACTGGTACCAAACAGGTAATCCATCTGGATTGACCTGCACGTTTGGGTCGTTGAATCCTCGGACGCCTGCCATTGTGCCAAAGTACTGTACACAGTCATTAGTTTTGCCTAAGTTTGCTGAGCTTAGGTAGACATACACTATTCCATGATCGATTCTCCTGCATGAAAATTACAACATGCTTGATGTCCTTCAGTGACCCGGCGGAAACGGACCTGCTCCCGAGGAGCAAAACCAAGGCAGTAGAACCAAGCAGTAACATTTTGAAGCGGCTAGTACTCTTGAGGGTGTTGTATGGTGTGGCTTCAGGTGCATTCAACCTGCTTTATATATCTCGAGAAACTTGAGCGAAAGTGGGGACTTTGCATGGTCTAGGTCCAGACAAGACCGCAACACCGGACAGTTGATAACCCATGAATCCCGACGCATCCATAGTATCCCAACTGTCTGGGTCGTAAATACATCTGCCAAAGTGGGACGTAACATGGGATAGTGTTTGTTATTGCAGATCGGATTCGACGAGCCATTATTTAGGCCGCCCTAAAACGAAGAGTGATCGTCCTCTACGGTGGGTAAAGTCTGATCCACTTTGGATGGAGATGGATGTTTCAGAAGTTTTATGACATCTGCTTACAAGAATACATCAAGAGACAGAGGACTAAGCGGCAGATGAGTCTCCATGGAAGGGAATCTGGTTGGCCGGTATGCGGGCACGTGTAGCGAACGGCAATCTGTCCGACTGGCTTTTCTGCTCAGGAACATTTTTTCTGACTTCCCATCCTTCTCTCTCCCTCCTGGACTCTCAGCAACTAAGTTTTCCATCGATAATCAGTCAGCGGTGGTTTAAAGGTGGCGGTCTTCACGGTGGACCTTTTTGATATATCCACAATGGCAAACAGTCTCTCTGTCGGCTAATATCAACACCGCCATGGCCCTGGATATCGGCATTGTACCTGAGCCCACCGAACAGGAACCAACTTTGAGTCCAATTTGAGTTTGAAAAGCTGGCAGCAGGCAGGGTGGCAGTCCATACAAAAGCCACCTGTTTGGCCGAACCTTGGTTGAATCTTGTTTCAAAACATCGGTCAGTGGCGGACCTGAACATCACTTACTCAATCTGTTCATACTGACAGGTACATGTATTCTGTAGTTTAGCCACTGTTTTGTTTCTGGACCCACATGTATTCAAAATGGCTCATAGTCATGGTCCGGGTTTAAAGACACACGGGGATCGAACAAGCATGCTGGGTCTGATGGGTGATGTGGAAGAATGCAGAACAACCTACCAGACTGTCAGAAGATGAAAGAACAGGGGAGTATCTTGTTAGACTCGCAGCAGTCACCGTCGTTTCGATTACGACGATTGCCATGGGGTATTGTATTGTATCCGGCTACTATATGTGGCCTGATCCTTCTGCTATTCGTGGCACAAATTTCGCAGCCAAGCCCTCTACAACGCTTGATTCCATCGAGAGTCTCGAATAGTCAGATACATCCAACTGTACATGGGCCCGATGTATCACGTCCTTTTATCGAGCTCCATCCGGGGGATCATGTATACCGCAATCCTTCAACGCAACATCATGACTGGGTAGTGACTGCCGACCATCGACGCCCGGATGGAGTGCTGAAAAGGGTTTATGTGATTAATGGTAATTCTTATACTCTTTTTTTACGTCAAGCCACATACTTATGTACAACTTAGATTTTTTTCCTGGACCGACGGTTGAAGCACGATCTGGTGACCGCTTGATAGTAAATGTGACCAATCATTTGGAGGAGGAACCAATCTCCATCCATTGGCATGGAGTACATATTGAGAGTAAGTTAAGTGCTTGGGCATAGTCTGATCTGCTTGACTAACAAGTCATTTAGATGCTATGGATGGAGCCGTTGGTGTGACACAACGTCCTATCCCTCCGGGGTCCACGTTTACCTACAACTTCACGATTCCAGCAGATCAAAGCGGTACATTCTGGTACCACGCTCACTCGGGCCTTCTCAGGGCCGATGGCCTATATGGGGGGCTCATCGTGCATGAACCCTCTCCTAAGCCAACAGTCCGGGGACTGTTGGCTCGTGCAGATCAGCAGGAACTTGGCAGCTATGATAAGGACATCCTACTCTTAATTGGGGATTGGTATCATCGATCGGCAGATCAGGTCTATTCCTGGTATATGCGCGCCGGGTCATTTGGGAACGAGGTTAGTCTTGCCATATAATCTTATTGAGTACGACGATTAACCCCAGACAGCCCGTCCCAGATTCACTACTGATCAATGGAGTGGGTCACTTTGATTGCTCTATGGCTGTCCCTGCACGGCCAGTGGACTGTATCCTTCGACATATGAACGTCTCATATCTGGATGCGAAGGGAGATGCAACGTACAGAGTCCGAGTGGTAAATACGGGGTAAGTTGTACGCCTACCAATGATCAGAAGTAATAGCTGACTGGCAACTAGCTCCGTTGCAGGATTTAGGCTAGGTTTTCAGAACCGAGAATTTACGCTCATTCAAGTGGACAGCATTGATGTTGAACAACAAGATTCAAGTTCAGCCGGTATACTTTACCCGGGCCAGCGTATGGACATTATACTCCGTCAGAGTCCAGACGAAACTCCAAGTTCGTTGACGATTGATCTAGATAAAGAGTACGTCTTGCCCGGTACCATGGTTCAAATTGCGCTAACAGACGGTTAGATGCTTCAGGTACCCCAACCCAGCTTTGACATCTGTCCAGACTTTCGATATAACGAATTCACCAAACAATCTGTCGTCAGGTATATCTTCATCAAACAATACGATATCACTCTCCGAGGTCGCCACGAGAAAGTCACTTCTCTCCGGTCTCCCCGCAAAGGCGCATTCAACCCACGTGGTGTACACTAAGATCGAAAAGCTCTCCATAAACCACAACGTACCCTATGGGTTCTTCAATCGAACTTCATGGAGGCCTCAGATTGACACACCGCTGATTGATCTTCCCCGCGAAAAGTGGGATAGAAATCAACTCGTGTTATCAACAGGGTCAACTACTTCGCATCCCGTGTCGTCCGATCAAGACCAGGACGTGTGGATCGACCTGGTAGTCAACAATCTAGACGATAGTGGCCACCCATTCCACCTGGTATGTTTCCTCCTCGCTGTCGAGTTGGTCTTTTCAACCAAGCTAACATCAAACAGCACGGCCACCACTTCTACATCCTAAGGACCTACCAAGCATCCGTAGGCTGGGGCGCCTACGATCCTTTTACAGATGCCCATCCACCTGGTCTAGCTCCACATCCCGCTAGCTCATCAAGAACAGATTCTCCCTATGACCTCTCCCGCGCGCAGCTACGAGATACGGTCTATATCCCCAGCCGCGGGCACGCAGTCTTGCGTTTCCGAGCAGATAACCCAGGAATATGGTTATTTCACTGCCATATTATCTGGCACCAAGCGAGCGGGATGGCAATGCTTTTGCAGATCGAGTGAAGCAGTAGACTACTCAGACTAGATACTTGTATATAAAACGTTATCAAATCAGTGACAGATGCCAATCACCTGAACCAGTATTGCACAAAAGACCTTATCTACTTTGCTTATGCTTATGTAACCATAAAGGCTTGCCTCTTTCAACAAATACGGTTGTGTAGTGTAATGGTTATCACTCTGGATTCTGATTCCAGCAATCCCGGTTCGATCCCGGGCACGACCTTTTTGCATTTATTTTTCTTCCACCTGACATGTAACATATGGCATGGCATGTATTTTTTCTCTATCCTCAGCAGGTTTTCACTCTCATCCAGATGGCATAACCTGTTCCCTAGGCGCCACCGTCGTCCAAACACTCTTTCGCCACTATGATATGAAAGGCGCACAGGATGATGGACTTGTAGATCAGTACATTATTACTTTGTTATAATAGCAGCTAAAACGAGCAATAATAATATTACTACTAATATCATAATATATATATTCCCCAATAAATATACTAGCACAATATATACCCGGCAGCCACATATACCCCCATGACCAACAATGAACACACAACAAACACAACACCCCAACTAAAGTAGTACTATCTCACACGACCTCACCATAACCTGATTCAACATTACCATGATATCATACCGCCACAGTATCACAAGATAGCTATTGTATTACCATCCCCGACTATACCAGAGTAAATTAAAATGATCGCAAGTATCAAGTAAAGTAGTACTAGCAAAAGCACTACTACCTGCCACGTAAGAACCGAACCTACAACCAGAACTAAACACTACAAAGTACCAATAGCCAGCACCTACCAACGCTACACAGCATATCACTATATCAAAAATGCAGCAACTAACTACGTAATACATCAACCAATAAGCATAAGTACTTCATACTGAATTCTCGGGCTCCCAATAGCGGGAAAGCCGGTAAGCAACAACTTCCCCCCAAAGAGTCACGCTGCATGCTACCCGTGAACTTTATTCCTGGGCAGGTGATATCCTTCATTGTACTTTGTTTTTGTAGTTGGGGAATCATAGGTCCCGCGTTTCTTACTGCATTTGTCTTGATTATGCCCCCTTGCTTTAGAGTTCTGTGAGGGGGGAGGGGTAGATAAGGTGGTTGTTGTGGCGCTTTTGCTTTGCGGTTTGGTTCTTAACGAGTCAGGGGTGGTGTTTGACCATATCGCTCCTTTGCTCTTCAGGATCTGGTGGCTTTCCCTGAGATTCTACTATGTAGGAACAAAACTTGGTATGTACTAGGTATCTCGAAATCATCATTGTTAGGCTAACATATCGGGTACAGCCACTTGGCCGCTCCAATCTGGTATCTTTCCCATCCATGCCAATCCATACTGCTGTCAATAATACAGTGAACAAGGAACTGAAAAAGTAGAAAAAGAACACTCAAACGCCGGATCACCCTAATAATATAGATCGATGCAGTCGAACAAAATAAGCTTCATATCTCAGGAGGCAGACGCCCATTCGACAACCTCCAAGGCGCACATTACGAGGATAAGGGTTGAAGGGAGGATCCTATAGGTCGTTATTAGTGGTTGATTTGTGGATGCGAGCTTGATGGTACTTACCACACCACATAGCTCTGGAACAAGAGCTTCGACATGGCGCTAACGTAGACATTGTTGATTTGGCAAATCTGCGCCAGCTGAAGGGCCGACGGAGCTCCAGTCAGGAGGAAGCAGACGATGATAAAGATCGGATCGTCCAGAATGCTGATCGGCACATACTTGGCCAGTAACGCAAGGATAGGGGCCATGATGATTGTAGGAAGAAGCATGCGGGCCACCAGAGAAGCGACAATCAACTTCTTCTCTTCCTTGGGGTGCTCCACATCATCCAGTGCCTCCTTAGGAAGCGTGTTGCGTTCAAGGTTGGCTCCCAGAACAACGAGGATTAACGGCACAGCAACCTGACCGTTCTGGTTGATCGCGCGGGTAACAGAATTGCTCACAAAGGTGCCCTCATCGAAGAACAAGGTCTGGAGCGACGGTACCGAGGCGACCACGATCGAGACAAGCATGGCCCACAGGGGAGGGTTCATGAACTCCCACAACCCATGGAAGAACCTTCCGATCCAGCCTGTGCACACGGATAGCACCTTCTGCATCCTCGTTGGCAACCGTCGAAATATGGCCCCAGTCCCTTTTGACCATCCGCTGGCGATGCAGCTACGGAGTCGACGAAGGGACGCCTTGACGCGGGCAACCAGACCCTTCTTCTCGTAGCTCTCTTGTACAGCGGGGAATGAAAGCATATCCCCGGCGGAGCTTTGTCGGGGCATGAATGGCGCAGGGGGAGCATCAAGCAGGGGCGGGCGGTCGGGATCTTCCTCGCCACCGCTACGGGACGACACCTTGGAGTAGGGATAATCTCGTGCGGTCACGGGTGTTTCTTGACCAGATGCGAACGCATCCGAGTCCTCCTGCGAAGCTCCGGATGCTTGCGTCTGTTCATCGAAGCTTCGAGTCCTCACCAACGGCTCATCTGGATCAACTTGCTCCGGGTTGTCCGTGTATCGCTCCTGGCCCTGTCCAATGAGGGAGGTATTCGGGTCCGGTTCTGCCTCTTCCAAGTAACGTTCACGGGGGGCAAGAAGCACGTGGTAGCCCCAGCTCCACCGCACAAGCTGTCCGAGCTGCTGGAAGATGAGCAGATATAGAATACCGCGAGCGGCTACTTCGTCATCGTTATCGTTCGGGACGCGATCCCAGTGAAGACCCTTGAGAGTTTGCGACAGGGACATGACAAGGGAGATAGGGAGCGAGTTCGAGTTTCCGAAAACCTAGGAGGATTGCCAGGGGTCAGCGAAAAGACAGGGAAGAAGTCAAAGCACTGGACATTGCACTTACGGCCATGGCGGCGACAAAGTTGGAAGGGCGTTTCTTGAGCCGGAGACATCGCGAAACAATAAAGGCGCAGGAATAAGAGACCAACGTTTGAATAACGAAGATGGCCGGGATAATAGCCAGATCAGTAAGCTTCTCTGCTGTGAGCTGGGACCCAAGCTTTGTGAAGACTAACAGTTGTGGTCAGCTGAAATGTGAAAAGTACGATCAAAGAAACCAGGCAACTTACTCAGGCAGGGCGTGAATAAAGTGACGTTGAGGTTTGCTACCAGCTTCTGGGCGTCCGCATCGAACATGCCCTGTTTGGCAGCAAAGTAGCCCGGCAAACTCACACAGATGACCTCGAGGACAGCTTCGAAGACCAAAAGGACGAGGTTGAGGAACGAGGGGTGGCTCGAGTGTGGGTTGCCATCTTGAAGGAGGGCGGGATTGGCGCCCATCTGGGTCATGAACTGAGAGGAGATTGACGGGTAGGCATTTTGAAGAGATCTAGGGGCAGTAAAAATGGCCATCGACAAGAGGGCGGAAGCACGAGACAGCCAGGGTGGCAGAGAGGGAACAGGCAACTAACTCTAGGAAAAATCTGGGGAAGGAAAGATGAAGAAAGGGAAGTGAAAGGGGAAGTTTGGATGATGGGGGATGACGACGCGAACGGGAAGCAACCACAAGGTAGTCCTGATGGGCAGAAACAGAGAGAGACGATGGCGATAATGCCGTCGAGGATGATGACGCCGATAGATAACAAAGGTAGGCAGGCGGTAGGCGAATAGGATTTAGAGTTGGCACTGCACGGAAGCACGATTGGATTCAAACAGTTCAACCTAATGCGTAGGTACAGGACTAAGGGCCAGAACAGACCCTTTTGGAGCCACTAACAGTATACACACCAAGATAGTATAGATAGATAACTAAATTAGACTCCAATGAATGAAGCGGGACGCCGACGGGTTTAATACCAAAGCCGATCGTGTCGGTGAGTCTTTGACTGTCTGTCTTGCCTTCTCTGTCTCTGTTGAAATCTTCTACAAGGAATTCCCAAAACATCATCGTCAGGCTTTCCCGGACTCTCTGGACCCGGGAGGGTCCCAAATGGCCAATCAGAATCGTTTGTAGGCGAACGCCCAGCCCAGTTTCGCGCTGCGCCCAGACCCGCCAAGGCTTGGGGCCTTCCACTAGATACCTTTTTAGTACGGGCAGAATAAAGTCAAGTATGGGAGAGTAGTAGTACTACTACTACTGCTCTAGTTCTATGAGAATTCATGAAGAGAGCTAGTTTTATAAAGGTAGCTGTCATGGAGAGCGGGAATAAGTAAACATGAAGCCATCGAAAAGCAAGCTCTTGAAGGACGGGCTAGTACTTTTGTCCCTCCCGACGGATGACGGCAGAATATCCACCAGGTAGGAGAGAGCTTCTCAGCTTCCCCCTGCCATTCGAGATGCTTGGCAGTGTGACACAAGTATCGACCATCGGAATCCCTTCGGCGGTAGACTAACCGCGAGATAAGACATTCACTTGGCGAGAATTTTACTAGAAGCTGAATGAAACCCTTCTCAGTAAGGAGAAAGGAACGTGTTGTTAACTTTCCTGCGAGTTGAGTGGCCATAGTGGGAATAGTCGGGAGGAGTGGTGTAACTACTACACCAAAGTACAGCCAACTAGCCTCATAATCACGAAAAGAGTTAGTATAGTAAAAGCAATATCACCACATACGTGTCTATTCTAAACATGACTGGTCTATTTGGTATATCCCTTCTTGTTCATTACTCTGCCACATAGTTAATATCCGACGCGACAACTTTAAAGCAAAGCAACTCATCATGATGAAAACTCCCACAGCGGTTATGTCATGATCGGCGGCCAATGATAATGCAAGCTGATATCACACCCGGTCTTCTCTGGTCATCCTTTTTTTTTTCTTCCAGCTCACATTTCCGCTTCCATTCAAGTCAAAGGGAAACCTTATCTGTTTCGCAATCATCTTCTTGAGAACCTGAAACAAGTGGTTCGATCTCCACGAAACCTTGCCACTTTCCCCAGATGTCCGGAACCACAAGGGATGGAAGTGGTGTGAGTCTCATTCCTCCAATGCGGCATTGCGCAACTCTCTCTCCCTCCCCCCACTTGGACACTGCCCGCCGCTGCCGAGGATCGACACCGCTAGCTGCTGCATTGGCTTCGGACTCACAGGTCGATGTTGGGGCCTATCTTGCTTAAACTCTACAGTAGTCCAGATAAGTAATTTATTAATAGACTCTGGGGCAGATTTACTACTTCTTTTTTCTACCATCATATTGCAGCATGAATAGCACTACTACTGTACCAAACCCTCACGATGAAACGGTACCTTCTTCGTTTTTGGTTGGCCTACCATCCGTAACGCGAAAGACCTGGCTTAAAGCCAACACCCAATATACCAAGTACCAATAAGATAGTCTTTTGAGTTCTTCGCAGTATGGCCCGCATTCAATCCCAGGACAGCAGATCCACTCCAGTAGTTGCACTAATAGCGCCCTCTTGGCATCAACAACATATCGGAACTGTGCAGTGGGATAGAAGTAAGGATCCACTCCTAGAGTTTGGGATGCTTCGGAGCATTGATTCATCACAAGGTTGCTGTGGACAGGGAAGGAAGCCGGGTGCGAGCCCGACAATGAGAAACGTTTATATGTTGCCAAGACTGGGGAAACCCTGATAAGACAGAGGCAAAAAAAAAAATAAAAACGCCCAGGGCCGGGGAATAAGTAAAATGGTTGACTGATCAACTGGTGGCTATTACTCAGGATATTGCTGCAATCATTGCGGTGACATAATCATGCCAGTTATTGCGAGTGGCTCCCGCCGAGGACAAGCCCCATCCGATCCTCAGCTGAAGATTGGGAACACCTCCGATAGGGCGTTGCACACCCACTGATGATGTCTACTACTGCCGACCAACCCCGTTATCCCCATGGATCTCGGGCTTCTATCACCGACCGTTGGCCATAATTTGGTCGACGAAAACGATCTCGGGCTTTGAACTGATGGGTGCTCAAATCCCTGTGTATGAGGTAGCTACTGCTTTGTAGGAGGCAAAGATTCTCGCGATCCTCGGTGGTGGCTATGATAAGAGGGAGAGGGGACCACTGTTACACAGGGGGTGGGTGGTAAACGAGCTGCTTCATATGTCATAAGCCACAATATCTGATCCTGGGCATCCCGGGCTAATCATGTAGGGAGTAGTAATGCTACTACTTGTTAGTATCTCCGGGATGGATTGATCAGCTTACATGATTTTATTTCTCTTTGGACTGCAACCCGTGGAATGGGACCCGTACTTTGGTTAGGTTCACCCCGGCCTAAGGTAAAAAAGATCGGGGATCCATCGGCCGACGGGGGTGGCGATATTCAGGCAGAAACAATGTTGGTTGCCACGTTCAGAATTCAGGTTGACCACGGATGCTTGCGTGAGCCAATTTACACTTCGCAGCTGAACGGTAGGGTTGAGTAGCGTAGACGAGATGAAAAAGGGCGAGATTAAATAAAGTATTGCGTAGACATTGACTTTGTGCCTGAGGTGCCGGTGTTGGCACGTGTGATTGGGCGGTCGGGGACTGGGACAGCCTGAGGCGACCGGGAGGCAAGCCTGGCAGATTTGCTGGGCCCCATCTGTCTCGACTAATCACAGTCTCTCTTTCCTCTCTTTCCCATCTTATAACCTTCTCTGTTAACTTATCCTTCCCTATCCTCACCTTTCCCTCCCCTCCCGAGGCTTGTCGGCCGTTGCTCGCTTTCTCTCTCTCTCTCTGTGCCGCTATCTAAATCTTGCTTCTCCTTTCTTTTGAGCCTGCATCATATCTATCCTTCCTCCCCCCCCCCTCTCTTCCCATCCATCCCCACCGGTTTCGCCTCCAAACGATTCCTTTAACAGCTCGTTCATCCATCTCTCTCTCTCTGCACGGTTATTTTTATTGCCTGTCATTCCCACCCCCCACTAAGTACCGTCATCGACCCTCTTCCCCCCTCTCTCTCTGTCTGTTTCACGTTCCTCTTCTTCTACCACTGTACTAAGTCCTGACCTCTCTTCTACCTGCCTTTCTTTGTCTTCTTATTGGTCACGGAGTTCAAGCCGCCCGACCAATATTTTTGCGAGGGATCGCACCATCTGTTCTCCATCCTCCCCGTCCCTGTTGTGCCTTGTTATCAGCTTGCTTGAGGACAGCCTCAGGCGTGCCCCGCGTCGACGAAACCTGCTTTCCTCTCCTCCACTTCCCCCCTCTGGAAAAGCGTTCTGGCTCCACCAACATTGAACTTCCTCTCTCTACTGCCAATTTTATTACCATCTATCCTCACACATCTTTGATAGCTTCATTTTTCCGCTCTTTCCGATCTTTCGTTCCCTCTCTTCAATCCCCTCCGTTCATGCACCAAGTGCCCCGACCTCCGTGAGACTGTTTTGACGGCACTCTCGGACCACTGCGCTCCAGCTCCCGATACCAATTGTGCTGTTCGAATACCTCCTCCAAAATGGCAACAGAAGGGGAGCCGATCACGGACATCTCGTCCAGACCCCTGTCAGATATGGATAACCGCTCCGACACCACCGACGACGACCTCTCACCCTCCCTAGCCACGACACAATCGTACGCTTCAGTACCCTCCCTCCGCCCGACTCTCGATAAACCCTCAATCACCCCGTCGTCGACACATCTAGGTCAACTCAACGCCGCCCGACGCGGTGCTGGGACGCCTCAAAATCGTCCACAAGCTTCAATGAGCGGCGCGCAGCCGGGGGGATTGAATCAGGATATATTAGCGAAGATGAAGGCTTTCTCATTGTCTCGACAGGGCGCCCCGCCCTCTTTGGCGCATGCCAATACGACTGGCTTGGTGCCCCGGGCTTCTCCGGTGGCATCGGGTGGCAGTCCAGTATCAGTACAGCCTTCACCAGGCGCAAATGGCCCCTTGGCAGGTGCTTTTGCAGGCCGGATACCTCCCACCGCTGTTCGTCCCGGTACCAAAAACTGGGTCTCTTCGCCTTCTGTGCCTCATGGGTCCCCCGGTGGCAGCTCTCCTAAGCCTGGTGGTCTGGCCGCGAAACGTATGAAGCCGGGGTTGAAGTTATCGGACGCTACGGGTCTGAACGGCTCGCCGTCGCCTGGGCAGCCTGCCAACGGCGGGCCTGCTCCCCCCGAAACCGCATTCAGCAAATATTCAGAATTCATTGATACGAAATCGGGGACGCTCAATTTCAAAAACAAGGCTATTCTCCATGGCGGCGGTATCGAATTCTCATCAGGTCAGAGTTTCAGCATCTCCTTAGACGAGGTCGATCGTCTGGATGAATTAGGCAAGGGTAACTACGGAACGGTGTACAAGGTTCGCCATAGCCGTCCTCACATGCGCAAACCTGGGATGGGATTACGGGGGATTATAAGTCGCAATGAGGATGGCGACTCCACTACGACGTTCGGAGTGAAGACGGAAGGTAACCTTTCTGGAGTTGTCATGGCGATGAAGGAGATTCGCCTGGAGTTGGACGAGAGCAAGTTCGCTCAGATTATCATGGAGTTGGAGATTCTTCACCGCTGTGTGTCTCCATTCATTATCGACTTCTACGGCGCTTTCTTTCAAGAAGGCGCAGTCTACATTTGTGTTGAATACATGGATGGTGGCTCAATCGACAAACTATACAAGGAGGGAATACCCGAAAACATCCTTCGCAAGGTAGCATTATCCACTGTCATGGGCTTGAGGACCCTCAAGGACGACCATAACATCATACATCGCGATGTCAAGCCCACGAACATCCTCGCCAATTCTCGCGGACAGATCAAGATCTGCGATTTCGGTGTGAGCGGCAACCTGGTTGCCAGTATTGCCAAGACAAACATTGGTTGTCAGAGCTACATGGCCCCTGAGCGCATTGCAGGTGGGGGTGTGCAGCAGTCTGGGGCAAGTGGAGGCGGAACCTACAGCGTCCAGAGCGATGTCTGGAGCTTGGGCTTGTCCATCATCGAGTGTGCCATTGGTCGGTATCCATACCCGCCCGAAACCTTTAACAACATCTTCAGCCAGTTGCACGTAAGTCATTGCTTCCCTTGTATCTCATCATTCACTATACTGACAATCTATAAAGGCCATCGTTCATGGTGACGCGCCAACACTCCCTGAAACGGGCTACTCTGAAGAAGCACACTCCTTTGTCCGCGCATGCTTGGACAAGAACCCAAACAACCGCCCATCGTATAGCATGCTCCTGCGCCATCCCTGGCTGTCGTCGCTTATGCAGCCTCCCACGAACACCGACGCCGATGATACACCAAACGGCTCGACGAGGGAGGGTGGATCCAATGTCACGGAAGATGAGGAAGTGGCAGCCTGGGTCAAGGAACAGCTAGACCGTCGCCAGCGTGGCTTGATCCAAGACGCAAGCAAGCCTGCATTACACGCCGTCGCCCTAGATGCCGTTCCTGGGAGCCCTCTCCTTGATGACCCCTCCGCTATTTCCGCTCAATGTTAACATGTTTCATGGTCCCTTGGCCTCTCACAAGATTCGGCCTTCATTCTGTGCTATCATCCTGTTTTCAACATGCATGCGTCTGCGTGAGGAGATGGCACTCGCTGGCGCTGGCGCCGTCTAGCCAAGCTGTCGCATGAGGCTCACACAATAGGGTGTGCCTGACAGCTTGGATATCTCCCGGGTTTAAGTCCTGTTTTCGGAGGGTAGCGATGAAATGCAGCTGCTTACGTCGTTCATGCTCCTTACTATTGATGTATAACGAATGTAGAGACATAATACGCTAGCTAGCTAGAAATGTCATGATGACAATGGTGGAACATTGCATGCGCATGAGTGATTTGAGTAAAAGGCAATGACTCCGATCGTCTTTCGCTTTCCCAACGTAACATCCCTCAAGACAAGGCATGGGCGACATCATCAAACACTGTAGGAATGGCAGAAGAGACCAGAAGGTGTAATGCTCAATATGATGAGTATCCCATGGCGGCTCCGCTGTCTTGCAAACTCGAGTAGGTATTCATGTCGCATCACGTCCTCTCTAGTGGGCAAACGGCCATCAATGCTATAGATATTCTTCTCGGAGGCTCAGGAAAGAATGTTATTCTGCTGGCTGACAAAACGACACTCCGAGAGTCCGACTCTATTAGTTAATCCCACTGGAGATTGCTTATCAAATTACTGTGGGTATGCAGATGCAGTGCAGTAACTGAGCCCAATTCGGGATTGATCTCAACCCCGAGGTCGGCATGTCGGTACATCGGAACGCCGACTTGGAACCATCGCCGTTGAAGATGATCACCATATGAAGTATATAGTATGAGGAATGAAACCAGTTAGAGTGGTTAATCTGTGGAGTATCTTGCAGTATTTCTAAGACATCCTTATTCTGATCTCCTCTGAGCATCCGCTTATCCTCTCTTCGATCATCATGACTACTATCAGGAAAGTTTCAATCATCGGGGTACGTCATATACTTACTACTGCCACAAGCATATCAACCCATACAACCATCATATCTAACTGAATATACCCTACAGGCCACCGGCACCCTCGGATCCCACATTGCAAGCGCTCTCTCAGCAGCCGGCCACGAAGTCACCGCCATCCAGCGCAAGGACTCGGACAAGCCAGCTCCCGCAGGCCTCAAGGTCATCAAAGTCGACTACCAGAACAAAGACGAACTGATCTCTACCTTTACCGGTCAGGACGTCGTTATCAGGTGCGTCCATAACTAACCAATACCATATCTATCTACCTAACTAACCCCTGCACAGCGCCGTCCCCTCCCCCCAACTCACCTCCGAAAAGACCATCATCGACGCCTGCATCGCCGCCTCCGTCAAACGCTTCATCCCATCCGAATTCACCACGATGATGGAATCCCCCCTAACCATCAACCTTCCCATCGCCAAAGAAAAGGTTCTAATCCGCCAGTACCTGAACTCTATCATTCCAGACACTTCCTCCCCTACAACCTGGACCTCCCTCAACACCGGCGCTTTCTTCGACATGGCCCTCAAATACGGCGTCCTGGGTCCTAACCCCATGACTAAGAAAGCTGTCTTCCACGATGGTGGTGATAAGAAAATCGCCGTTTCACTGTTGAGTGATATCGCCACTGCTATTGTTAAGCTACTAGAGCCTACCAATTTCGAAGCTGCTGCTAATCAACCGGTTTATGTTTGCTCGGCTGTGGTTACGGAGCGGGGGTTGACGAAGATTGTTTCTGAGGTTCTAGGGGTGGATTTTGGGATGTCGGAAGATGTTAACGTGAAGAAACTTATTGAGGAGTCGGAGGAGAGGTTGAAGAAGGGGGATATGTCGGCTATTATCAATTTTTATTATCAGATGATGTATGGGGAGGGGTACATGGGTGGGGAGTTTATGCGCTGGAATTGGAATGAGAGGTTGGGTTTGAGGATTATGGATGAGGTGGAGATTAGGGGTGCGGTGAGGGAGATTTTGGAGGTTTAGGGTGTTGTGTTGGTTGTTTTGTCTGGGTGGGTGTCTTTGGATAGAAATATAGATAATATTATAGAGCTTTTCTGTGTGTATGAGATAGTAATTTGAGGCATGTATGCTATTGGCCTTAGATCTGAATTTAGCTAGTCCTGGGTCGGGTATATATTCAGCGGTAATTAGATTTGAGTGATTAATTAGAGAGGATAACGAAATAGTAAGATTGAGTATAGTTATTATGGACAGACCTTGTCTTCTGGTAATCTTGATATATTATCATTTCAGTGAGTCGCGGTCAGTTGTAGTACAAGTTATCGATAGTTAGCAATAGTCACTGATAGTTAATGTCTGTAAGAAGATCGTGTAACATGAGTCAGTATCTGGACTTTAGGTATTTCCATCATATGACCGCCAGACATTCAAAAAAGCAATAGTCACATATGATGTTTCTTGTCTATTTGTGACTGCATCACTCAAATCAATCATTCATTGGGTACTTCCTCTTGCAGTGCTGAGATGGTGGTGTTACACCGAAATATCCAAGGAGATGATCAGCGATATGAGACTGAAGAAGAAGAAGAAGAAGAAGAAGAAGAAGAAGAAGAAGAAGAAGAAGAAGAAGAAGAAGAAGAAGCAATATGATTTAAACTAAGGCAGCCCTTCATTCAGCTCGCACTTATAAACATATAAATACTCTCAGGGTTATCTGATACTTTACAACAGTCTAAGCAATCTCTCTTCTTTCTCCTCTTAGAACACTGCGAAAAACGGACTCGCTGCTGGCATAATGAAGACCGTCTCTTACCTACTCGCTCTTAGTCTTTTGGGGACTCAGGTCCTTGCTGGACCATCTTGTGTATGAGTTTGCCTCCTGGCAGTATATGGAATTAGCACAAGGGTCTCTATAGTATATGCTGACACACTTCGCTGGCTCAGCCTGGCGGTAATAGAACGTACGGATGTGAACCAGATTGCACCCCAACATGTGATGATTTAGACCTATGCTACCCGCCCAGAGTTGTCACAATGGAGTGCAGATTTGTGTGTCGATGTATCGTGGGATATGTTCAGACCGATGTAAGTATAATCGAAAAGTGTTATTGGCATAGAATAGCTCAGCTAATACTTTTACGGACTCTCGATTGCGTTCTATCGCAGGATTGCCCAGCTAGAAGTTTGGAGGGAATCACCGAGACACTTTGACGGGGTACTCATAGATATCAGTCTGGACGCTTGTAAAATATACATTCTTCGTGATACCTTGTGATCATAAACCCTGTGCCCAGCCAGATATGTAGAATTATCTGGCAAAATTCAAAACATCATTTCAACAAATACGGTTGTGTAGTGTAATGGTTATCACTCTGGATTCTGATTCCAGCAATCCCGGTTCGATCCCGGGCACGACCTTTTTGTGTTTCTTTTTTCTTCCCCCTGTGACCTCTGCCTGCAAGTCCTGCAAAATAGCAGGCATTTATGATCGTAATGCATGAGTGTCTCTATTACCAGTGTACCGTCATTAACTGACTCCCTTTGCATGCCCATAAATTATCCTACTGGGTTTGCACGCCCAACCCAAATTCCCGCAGACTACAAATTCAATCATTAATACAACCCGACAACCAACCACAAAACACCTCTAACATTGGTACCCTAGTACCCTGGAACCCCAGTCCTTGGGAAGTCCAGACCCCTCAGCCAACGGCTTTTCTCATACCCGCTAGTCCCACGGCTCACCTACCGAAGATACGTCAACAGCCCTTCCACGAGCTATGGATGGCCATGTGTCTGGCCAGGGCCGTTCCCCACATATGAGGCAGTTCCACAATTGACCAGATTATGGGATCTGGTCGAGGCTTCTGATCTAGACTCGTCGAAACTAAGCCCACACAAAGCAGCGGGGTTGCCCTGCATAGACTTGCATGCACACTTTGTACAGAGAGGCTGAGAGAATTTGGTTCCATTGCTCGGCTACCTTTACTAATATGTACTTTGGGCCGATTCGGTGGAAAGTATATCTGCATGTTCTGATACAGGGTCGGATGCTTTCGGTATTGTGTGGAATAGGTGGACAAAGGATTGTGTTTCGTTTGGGCCACCTTATAGGGGTGTGATTGACGGCAATGATACCAGTGGGTTGATTTACTTACGGTCTTGTGTCCTTTTGTTTCGGTACTATTGTGATGGGCAGCGACCACTAAAAAATTTTAGACGATACGGAGGTGCTCGGTGATCTCGGCGAGCTCTAGATGAGTCCTGGCAGGTCATTGATTTTGTTGGCTCCTCGGGTGATGTCATTCAGTACGCTACTTATATATTTTCCGTGGGTGACCATTACTACACAACTGACGATACCACAACCATCAACATCATCCTCTCTATCATTCAAAGACGCACGCCAGGATACGTAGGACGTCAACCACACAACTCCCCATCTATGAACCCATGCAGGACAGTCCTAGGCATAAAGACCACCTGTAGTATACTCCCAACCCTATACAATCAGCTTCATAATCTCAAGTTTTCTAAAATTGCGAATCTCCGAAACTCCCAGGTCGTATGGGGTAATGGTTATCCCTTCGGATTTTGATTCCGACAATCCCGGTTCGATCCCGGGTACGACCTTTTTGCTTCTCTGTCTTGGATCATAGTAGAGGAAGGAAAGCAAGGTTGTAAGGGACCGTAGTGTATGATTTTTATGGTGGATGTGTTGGCAGAGTGCGGGTACATGATACTTGCCAAGTAGACAACGATTGGATCAGTGATGAGTGATGTATCACGTGTAAAGTGCTTCAATGACGAAGGAGAACAAGCAATCACCTGCATTGCTATCTACCGGGTATTTACGATGTCAATGGCGTGCAGGGTGCTTGTTAGTGATATGGCTGGACCAAAAGTATATCTGACGGTTGACTGCATGTACCTGTGAGTGCCGAGAATCCGATAGCTAGGAAGGAATTGTTGACAGACACAAGGGCTATAGCCTTTGTACCCCTTACTGGCCAGGGATATGCCAGGGCCCGGAGAATACGATTGGATGGGTGCTGGAAATGAAAGTTTAGGGATTGACGAC